GTTTGAGGATGATTCTCTGGTTTTGGTGTAGGTGTACCGTGATATATTAAGAAATGTTATGGAACCTTATGCCGACGAAAATCTGGCTATCTCTTATAAATTTCAACAGGACAACAATCGGAAACGCACATCTAAAGTCGTAAAAGAATGGTTTGAACAAAATAAAATAAATTTGATGACTTGGCCGTCACAGTCACCAGACTTAAATCCTATAGAAAACCTATGGAAAATAGTCGATAAAATTCGAAATAAAATTTACAAAAATGGTGACGAATTGTTCGCTGCTTGTAAAATTTCGGCTAAACAATTACTACATAATACACATTGCCATAGTAATGTAAAACCTGTCGAAAAACATAAATTTAAAATTTAATATAAAAAAATTAAAAGTTGCTCTACTTTTTTCCAATACTGTACATATAGTGTTAATTCTAGCTTTATTTGTTATTCGGCGTTAGTTTGTTGTACCTATATTTTTATTGGACTAAAACTAGAGCTACCACTAGAAGACCTAGAACTAGATCTAAAAACATTCCGGTTTAGCCATCTTGAATGTTTCTAGTTCTAGTGATAATGCTAATGTTAGTTCTAGTTTTAGTTGTTATTCAGCTTTAGGTTGTTGTATATTTTTAATGTAATTAAACTTTTAAAACAACGCATTAAAAACGTAGTAGTATAACGTTACAAAGTGCTCACAGCGGTAAAAAGTCTCTTTGTTCAAGCGCGAGAGTGGTGTGGCTGTCCACATTGATATCGGATGCTGTTTATCATGCCTTGGCGAGTATTACTTCTTCGTACTAGTTCCTGTAGTGACAATGGTGTCCATTTCCTCGGTCCGTGCACATTGCTTAAATGGGTCACGGAAAATTCCTATTGATTATTCATTAAACACGAAACGAATGAATATTTTATAAAACATCACTACGTGTCTCGTAATATCAAGCTTGCCACTTGGTGTACTCATAGTTGAACTTTGCTCTTTTACTGGAAATTTTAGTGGTGTGTGTAACGAGTTTGAGTAACCTTCAAACTTTGAAAATGATATAACATCGTTTTGGAATATATTAAAGGAGATTAAGACGAACAATAAAACGAAAAATAAAATGTTAAAGAATCAAAATGTAAAGTAAATATTATATTAAACGTAACAGGTATTGTTTCGATTTTCATTATTGGCTTAAATCCCAAATGACTGACAACTTTGCATTCATTGTGACAATCTAATCTTGTTCATGCTTGAAAGATCAAAGGCGTGTCATAGCTTTAGTACAAAGTAGTTGCTTTGCTAAAGCGGTGAAATAAAAGGTTTTCTGGTCTTCATATACAATAACAATAATGATCTTCATAAGCTTAAATCTGTCTTAGGAAACATTTAACTTCTCTTATTGTGACTTATAATTAAGACAAGCTAAAAGAAATTTATTGTTAACACTATAATAAAATTGTTCTAAAAATATGAATGTAGAGTTATTTATTTAGTTGCAAATTTCAGTCGTTTTGTTTTAACCTTTTTTTTAGTTAGTTTCTTTTTCATTGTCATCTTCTTCCTGAAGATGAGCATCAAATAAAAATTGCCCCACCTGATCATCGTAGGGAGGCTTTCCTCTTGGCGCCGCGATCAATAGAACTCGTCCGCGCGGCGCCCCTCGTGCTTTTCCGGCGGCACCTTGAACCTCGGACGGCCGCCCGCGCTTCGCTCCGTTCAGACGGTTACGATCAACGCGATCGCACGTTTCCTTAGAGCTTTTGAATCGAGCGCGAGCTTTTAGATAAGGAGTGGTTCCGCGCGCTCCAAATTAAACACGTTATCCACGTGAGATTTATCAATATCTCAATTTCAATGACAATATGTGATTTTTTTTTAACGAAAAAAGATATCCCAACAAAGTTGGTTTTTTTTGATAATTTCCTCTTCGATTTTTAAGAAGTGAGTATTGTCGTTGTTTTGATGTTAAACACCTGTGATTCAACACATCGCCAACGTGTTGAATGCCAATTTCTCTTATTGTTGTTTTAGGTCAGTAAATTAAAACTTTTTTGATGTTAGTTGCTTGAAATTTACTTAATAGGAAAAAAAAATATCGCGGGGGGTTGATTAAAAGAGGAATAAGTTGGTTGAGGGATGAAATTAAATATTCTTCGGGTGAAGCGTGTCCTGTAAGGTTTTCGCCGACGAAAACGGAAACGCGAAGGTCGGGAATTGCTTTAAAATTCAAATTAAGTGCCCACGTAAAAAAAACAAAAAGGTTAACTTATGATAGTGTTGATATTGACGTTCGATGGCTTTTATTCGTCGTGTTTTGTCGTTTCTTACCAAAAATTGAAACATAAAATATTGGAAAATTTATGTAATTAATTTTTTTGTGTATTGTCGTCATAAATAACTAGCAAAAAGCGAAACCAATAAAGGTTCGTATATATCACTTCTAAATCAATCTAGTGATTTATTCTTTAAATAAATAATTTTTATTTTATTGAATGTATGAAATATAATATATATATAGTAGAAAATATGAAGTATTTCCTAGTGTTTTTTATACGAAGCACTGTAATTTTGCAACAATTCGGGCATTAATTAGTAGTTATTTATTTAGCTTTTAATTATATCTATGTATGTACTAAGAACACTCGTTTAAACGTATTATGTTACCTATTAATATCATCCTAGTATCATATTGTCAAAACTGAACATACCATGTGCTCCAACATTGATCAGTGATCATTCTACCTATATCAAATAACGCTTTATAATAATTATTATTAATAATGGTTTGATGTGTTGGAATAAATTCCGGCAATTCGACAACAGAATCTTTGTGGAACACCACCAATTTATTTTCGCAATCTTTGTACTACTTCTTTTCCTAGTTAACATTCTGGATCTCCCTCAGAGTATAACCATCAACTTGGAGTATATTCTTTAATAGTTTTCCTTCTTTTTCCAAAATCTTAAAATTGTTAGTTTCCATTTTGAAATTGTTTGTTTCTAATTTGAAGTTGTAAAGGTATAGAATGTACATATCGAATCCATAATTTCGCGTTCTAGAAGCAGTTCGGTATAATTGGATCAGGAAGATTTTTCGTGACAACTAATATAAATAATTTATAAATGAAACTGCTTATACAAAATACAAATATTATTTTGAAGCTTATTGTACATATGTATGTATAATTAAAGTGGTCTACAATATTCTTGTTTTCTTTTTTAAAGTAAATTATAACATTAACGTTAGGCAGTCAGACTTTTTTGATATTGTGAAAATGGGGTAGAGTAGTGGGATAGATTCTTAAACGAAAGGAGAAACAGGATTCGATAGTTTAGGTGTGATATAAAGCTGTGAAAAGGAAATAGAAGTACTAATCGTGAATTACCGAAGTGACGGGTATTTCGAATTGTTTTGGGATAATGGGGTAAGTACTATATACTACACCTGACATCAGCTAAATGTATATATATAGTACAATGTATTCGATTGCATTCGATTAAGCCGATGTCGCTGGCGGCCGAGGCGTTGCATACAATACCATGTCAATCTTAAACGTGCTAAAAAATAATGTAGCGCCTCGGCAGGTCACTATGTGGATAGTATAATTTTTCGAAGGAAGCTGCTGTTTATTTAGAGGGTGATGCGAATGTTGTCGGTTTACAGAACTGTCTTCAATGACGTGAGTCAAGTACTTGCGTGTACTACAATCTAGCGAGAATTTACTTAATACCGTGGAATTGTGGGTTGATAATCGCGTAACCTGTGACTTTGGGGGCTATAAATGAACTATTTTCGCGATTCAATGATGTAAAGGGAGATTTAAAAAAATTATATTTCAAACGATTTCCTTAAGTGCAAAATGTATTATAAGTTATAACAAATATTTATTTTGAATGTCTACTTGCTTTTTAATAATTTAATCGTGGGTTTTTTAAAATTTTTATTAATATATCAGTGTCATATAAAAATGGGTAAAAGGAATGTGAAAATCACTTCACTTTTTATATTCTAGGTTGATGCATAAAAAATACAAAATCAATAAAACGTTAAACATTTATGGCTTCTATGTAATCCTGAAAAAAAGGAAAACAATAAAAATTGTTCATTAGGTGCTTTCCGAGAAATGTTCCGTTTATCGTAATCTATTTTCATTCTGGTTAATGGTTTCGATTAAAACCCCATTTCCATGCATCAATTACTTAAATAAACACTTTTTATTGTTTTCTTTTTATCAACTTGTCTTTTAATGTTTCAATGATCTTGAATGGTTTCAAGGTTTATAAATTCTCTTTAAGACTTAATTTTTTTCTTTTAATGTTGGCATCTATTTTAAAAAGTTAAATAGTATATATATGTTTACAAAATATGTCTAGAAAGTCGTCACGTCAAAAAAAAGTAATTAAACTATAAATACTACCGAGTGCTGAACATTTTACAGCTCGTATCCGCAACTTTATGTCGGTCATATCTTTAAGTTCTCGGGTTTAACTTTATACCTTATTGTCAATAACTTAATTTTATGGTAAATAAATTGCGGAAAACGTTTCTTGAAATAAAATATTACTATTGTTTGAATAATATTGCGCGGTAAATATGAAAGTCTGTTTACGTCATAACGAGGTTCTTGCGATAATGGCTACTTAGCTTCAGTGTAGTAATTTAAATAATTAAGCTGTCGCGTGCAGCTTGTAGAAGAACGCGTCCGGGTCGCTATTACGGAAATAGGATTAAATATGCATGAGATTCCAGATTATTTCTAAAAGGTATGCATCGTAGAACTTGAGTATCAAGAATCACCACAACGTATTATAATGTTGTTTTCAATCTATTATTACTTTCTTTGATGTCACCCACTTTGTTTCTATTGTAATAAATCAATTCAATATTCAAAATATCAAAGTTTATCTATCAGTACAAACTTAAGCTCTAACGCGGATGCACGTTAGATAACTATCCATAAAATTGATAAGATTGACTCATTTTGTTGTGATGTCTTTTCGTTTTTGTTTGCAGATAAACATAGTGAATTTGTTGGGATAATGCATTCTGATAGCTGCGGATAATATAAAATCAAACTATGCTCATCAAAGAGTATCGGATTCCGCTTCCCCTTACCGTCGAAGAGTATCGAATAGCTCAATTGTATATGATAGCGGTAAACATCGTTTAACTGAGTAATAACCAAGAGATTGATTGAGTTTTTGATTATTTTAGAAAAAAAGTCGTGAGGAAAGCAAAGGGGCGGGCAGTGGAGTAGAAATTTTATTAAATGAACCGTACACTGACGGACCAGGTGGAAAAGGACAATACACCAAAAAGATTTATCATGTAGGAAGTCATCTTCCTGGTGAATTTATTTATTTGATTGTTATTCTTAAATTATTAAAAAAATTTTAAGGATGGCTTAAAGGAATATTACCAAAGACTGCTCTTATGGTGGAAGAAGAAGCTTGGAACGCTTATCCGTACACCAAGACTCGATACACTTGTCCTTTTGTCGAAAAATTTTATCTAGAAATTGAAACGTTGTATTTTGGGGACAATGGCCATCAAGATAATGTTTTTAAACTAACTGGAAGTGATTTAAGAAATAGAGTGGTTGGTTAGTATTTAATTAAATAAATTTAATATTTATAAACTTGATCAAATTTATTTTTTTTAGATCTTATTGATGTAGTTAAAGATGTTTTATATGGAGCAGATTATATTAAAGAGGAAGATCCAAAGATTTATCACTCTGAAAAAGCAGGTCGAGGTCCTTTACTGGATAACTGGCTTGATGAATACTGGAGTGAAGTAAATTCTTTATAACATCCTAATTATAATTTTCAATATAATTTTTGCCTTAATCTAGATTCAAGGTAAACCTCAACCTTTACCAGATGGAAAAGCTATGATGTGCGCGTATAAATTATGCAAAGTTGAATTTCGTTATTGGGGGATGCAAACAAAAATTGAAAAATTTATTCATGATGTTGGTATGTTTGTATTTTCTCTGTACTAATATTTAATATAAAAAAATAATTTAATGTAGCTTTAAGGAAGACGATGTTAAGAGCTCACAGACAAGCTTGGGCATGGCAGGACGAATGGCATGGATTAACCATGGAAGATATACGAGAAATCGAAAGGCAAACTCAATTGGCTCTAAAGAGGAAAATGGGACAGCCCGATGATGAAACAGGTACGGAGATTGAGGTAAAATATTAATGAACTTATACAGGAATTGTGGTAGATGAGGACAGTCAGCGGAGTAATGGATCCTATTCCAAGGACGGAAAGAAAACCCTTGCGCAAACGTTAGAAAGTATTGAAAAGAAAGAGGATAGTCCAATCTTATCCAAGTCAAAACCACAACGGAAATCAACATCTGAAAAAGAAAATGAAGAACAAAATAACAAGTAAGATATTCTCTCTTTCCCTAAACCTAACTTTAAACCCTTATTGCGTGGTCTCTATTCGATATGTTTTTTAACCCATCAAATCGGTTTTTAGGTCGATTTCAATCGGCTTATCGACCAATCCGATATCGATGTTTTCGTTGCGTATGCTTTCATTCATAATTAGGTTTTTCCATAATCTTGGTTCCAGAAACTAGAACTAACACTAGATCTAGAAGTAGAAACATTCGGGTTTAGTCATGCATCTCTCAAGACGGCTAAACCCGAACGTTTCTAGTTCTATATTCTTAATGACCAAAGTATCCAGGAAAGGTTACTGTTAAGCAGCTTGCGTTTCCAATGATTTGTGACAATATCTGGAATAGAGATTTTAGGTAATCCATAAATTCTTAGTGGTGCTGTGTATAATAAAAAAAGTGTGGTGATATTGTCGCTTAGACGCTGTTTGCAGTCACCCACTCTATATAAAAGTTATTATAAAAGCTAACCATTTAGTAGACGATAATATAAAATTTTACTAAGTTAATCTATTTGTTAAATATTTATCTACAGAGATGAAAAATGGCAACAACCTATTAATTTACATTCTCCAACATCAACCTCAGTGAAAAGTTTCGATATTCCAGCACCTAATTGGAGAATTGAAAGTTTGGGAAGGGATTCAGATTCTAATTCGGAAGATGAATTTTTTGACTGCGTAGGCGATATGGGGGAATCTTCATCGCTCGCTAAATGGAGTTCTTTGGAGCTGTTAAATGAAGATGATGATACTGCATCTCCAACTTACGTTGCTGATCAAAACGGTAAGCAGTTTTTTTATTTTGTTTTCATTTAAAACAACATTATTTATAGATGATAGTATTTTTTCCGCCGCTTTTTTACAACGCGTTGCAAGTGAACGGGGTTCTAGAAAAATGTTGCAAAGAGGAAAAGTGAATTCTTTAGATATTGGTTGCCCCGAATCGCCTGGAGCTTCTCCCGCCCATGTCCCATGTTCAACTACAGTTTTATTACTTGTATTCCATTCAGGTAGCATTTTAGGTAATTAAGTTAAATTTCAATCTGGCGTTATGAACGTTAAACTTTTTTTCTTTAGATATGAACACTGATATGACCTCAAAAAAGTCTGATGTCACCACGTTTAGGGGTGCTTTTGAATCAGTAATGAGACAACATTACCCATCTTTAATAGGTCATATGGCTATTAAATTAGTCGCGTGTCCTTCGATTTGTACTGAAGGTCTTGGCATTTTATCTAGGTATTATAAAAATGAAGACACTTTAACAAGAAATACTTTTAATTATTATTTTGGTTTTAGTTTAAGCCCTTATAGCTTTGATGTATCTCCATCTTGTACTGATACACCGCAAATAACACATGATTCCATTCCAATTGGGGCCATACCTTTACTGGCTACCTCCACACCTGATTATCAAGATAACATCACTAAAGTTATAACATCAGCAAATTATGTTTACCAAGGTAGTACTTGATAATAAAATTATTAATAGTGGAAGTTTAAAAGATTGATTTATTTTAAAAGAATTTTTAAAATCAGAAGAAGGAAAAGGGTTCACAGGTCAAATATGCATCGTTTCGGATTCTATGGGTTCTATACTAGCTTACGACGCTCTTTGCAGAACGATCAAATACCAATCGCGACACGGAAGTGAAAATAGTATATTAGATAATGACACAAGGGGTTTAGATAATATCCAAATAAACGACACTGGCCATCTAGTTGCGCCATCGCCGAGAAGAAGATCCTCATCGACAAGCGAACACCACATTAAATTCGAATTCGAAGTAAGCGATTTCTTCATGTTTGGAAGCCCGCTCGCTTTGGTACTAGCCTATCGAAAAATTTCTTCTGCCGAAGACAAAAATAGTAACATCTCCCGTCCAGCTTGCAATCAAATCTACAATATGTTTCATCCGATCGATCCTGTCGCCTCGCGTATTGAACCGCTTCTATCTGCGAGATTTTCAATGTTATCACCGGTTAACGTGCCAAGATACGCCAAATATCCGCTTGGAGACGGACAACCGTATCATCTAGGTACTTATTTAGGTATACTTTAATTCTAGTATTGACGTTGTTCGTTATGTGTATTCCCAAGTGGTATTGTGGTCTCTTGTATATACTAAAATTTATTAGAACACTTTGCCTAACTCCCTTTATTTAGGTTGACGCGGTCTCTATGTGCTTTTAGTTGAGGTTTTACAGTCGAACCCGCAAGTTTTTACCGACATGCAACCGAGACGATTGTCGGAAGTCTCTTTGCAAAGTACTGTATCTGGAATTAATGATGAATTACCTCTACAAGCTGTTAACGCATGTGAGTTTTTACCTTTATTGTCTATTAACGAATGTAAATCTATCTTGGCCGGTGAAGGTCAAATGCGCCGTAGCAAACGGCGCATTTGATTTATTTATTTTATTCTAAATAAATCCCCCAAATGAAATTTCTCCATCCCTATAATAGGAATAAATTTTTGAAAATAACTTTACAACAAAACGTCAACGCGAAGCGTTTTTTTTTTAGCTTATCTTTATGAATTTATTTCTCAAGAAGATTTACTGTGTCGCACTCCTTCTTCTGCGCATTGACCGGTCAAGATAGATTTGTCAAGCTGTACGTACTTAAAATGAATATTCCTCTGTCTATACTGTGTGGTAGAAAATCAATGAACAAAAATCATTATTACATTGATTTGTGCATTTTGTTTATAGTGCAACAAAAATGGTGGGGTAACAAACGCATGGATTACGCCCTTTATTGTCCGGAAGGTTTATCAAATTTCCCAACACACGCGTTACCTCATCTACTCCACGCGAGCTTTTGGGAAAGTAGCGATGTAATCGCATTTATTTTACGGCAAGTCGGTTCGTCTGAAGGTCTTCCTATATCAGGAATTGAAGATAGAGAGACTAGTTTTAGACCAGGTCAACCGAGGGAGAAATGGATAAGGAAGAGAACATCCGTAAAATTAAAGGTAATTCTTTTAACTTTAATGGGAAGTACCTATAATAAGTGTGTATATAAAAAAATAGAACGTAGCCGCAAATCATCGAGCGAACGATGTAATTGTGAAAGAAGGTCTTCCTCAAACGATAATTGCTCGTTTTATGTACGGTCCTCTTGATATGATAACTTTAACGGGAGAGAAAGTTGATATACATGTAATGCGGGAAGTTCCTAACGGCGAATGGTCCTATGTTGCGACTGAAGTTACCGATAAGACTGGGAGGATATCATACTCTTTTCCTGATGATGTGTCTTTAGGATATGGGCTTTATCCTATTAAGGTATTAAAAATAAATCTATATAAAATCAATTATTTAAACACATAATATTCTTATTAGATGGTTGTGAGAGGTGACCATACTTCTGTAGATTTCTTTATGGCTGTTGTTCCACCTAAAACGGAATGTGTAGTTTTTAGTATTGACGGATCTTTCACAGCTAGTATGTCTGTAACAGGGAGAGATCCCAAGGTTAGAGCGGGTGCTGTTGATGTTGTGAGGTAAAACAACAATAATTAATCCAAATTGCAACTTTTAATGGTTTGTATATTTTAGACACTGGCAAGAACTTGGTTATTTAATAATATACACGACAGGTCGGCCTGATATGCAACATCATCGTGTTGTTTCTTGGTTATCTCAACATAATTTTCCACATGGCTTAGTGTCATTCGCGGATGGTTTATCAACGGATCCTCTTGGTCATAAAACGGCTTATTTAAACAACTTAATACAAGTAATTAACTTAGCTTAAAAATTTTAAATTTTTCTTATCATTTTAAAACAAAATTTAGTTCCATAACGTGATCATACAAAGCGCGTATGGTAGCAGCAAAGATATCGTCGTTTATACTTCAATCGGTCTCAAACCAAAGCAGATCTTTATAGTTGGTAAAGCGTCCAAGAAGCAGCATTCGCAAGCAACAATTTTAACGGAAGGATACGCGGCTCATTTAACGACTTTGCTAGCTCATGGAGGGTCACGACCAGCGCAAGGAAACGCTCGCATGGTGATTCCTAGGGGATATTTTGGGTTACCAGGACAGGTGAATTCACGAAGACGAAGGTAATGTAATTTTTATTAAATATGTTGTCAACTTGATCGGGTTTTAATTAAGTAGCAAACACATTGATTTTATTTTTTTAATAAATTATTATTTTGTAGTTCATAGTTTTTTCTTGTTGGCCTAAAGTCCTTAACCTCTTATAATAATATGCATTTGTGGGTGTTTTTTTTTAAACATTTCTTTCTAATAATAATAATTATTTATGTAATTTGTGATATTTATAAGGTAAGATTTAAAAAAAGATATAAATTTAATTGAAATTGTAGGCTCTTGTAAATTTTTAGGTAAAGCTTTTAATAACTGTACATTTATTCTTTCAAAGAAAAAATTAATAAATAATTGAAAGCTGGATGTATTAATCAAACAAATAAATCATTTTTTTTTTGAAAGAATAATATTACTCAGCAATTTTTTAAGGTAAGAAAAAATTGTAAGAAATACCAAAAAAATTGATTATAAAGTAAAGATTAAGGAATCAAAATAAGACAGCATAAAGTCCTTATACCAGAAAAAAATAGACGAAAAGATACAAAAGATGCAAAGAAGGGAAAATGCAATATATTCTTTGAGCTCCTAAACAAACCAGCGATTCTTAAAAAACAACAACAATGAAAAATTAAACATACCACTTATTCCTGTATCGGTAAAGTCTTCAGTAAAGCTAAACAACCAAATATCAGAGAGTTTAATATATACGTGTAAATCGCGAGTGATGAATGAAGGAAGAAATGTAGAGGGATGGGTATAGAACTAGTCGAACCGGCAACGCTGTATAGCCCAGTAGTGTTTCGGGACGAAAAGGATCTTGTGTATATGGCAGAGAAATTAACTGATGCGGCTTGATCATAAACAGAGCAAAACTCAATATTTTCATCCCTATGGCACTGTGTAGATAACAAAACAATTACAAGACCGGTTAAAGCCAGTAGAAATAGAATTCAAGAGAACAGAGTGCAAGACCAAAATGGTCCAATATCGACACATGGAAGATAAAAAGAGGACAATTACAGTGGTATGGCTACGTTCAATGAATGGGTAATGAAAGAAACCCAAAAAAACGATGCATTGAAGTTCAACGGAGAGAAAATCCAGGGGATCTCTACTTGGGCATCGAGGATTTGAAAAACGATATTCGAAGGGAACCTGGCGCCAAGGGACTGAGAACACCGCAAACGCTAGAGGTTGACAATCGGAAGGCAGAAGACGCTGTAAACCGAATATACAGAATGTATCTAAATGACGTGCCCAAACTTCAGGGGGTGATTCTTTAGTTAATTTTAAGGGTACTTTAATATACGAACCATGGGCGATTTTGCCTCCCCTAAGGAGCTATACCCCTCCAAAAATGGCGGAAAATTTTGGTTTAATTTTTTTTTCTCAAAAACCATAAACGCTAGGAAAATGAAATTTGGTTAATATGTTTAACTCATAATAGGGTACGTTTTGACCCTATTTGTACTTTCAACCTACCCTTCTAAACTACTAAAAGTAACCACCCCCTTTACATTTTTGCTAAAATTATTTTATGCAGATGGTAAATACATTAGAAATATTTTACATAGGTAGATGAAAGTATCTTAAAACTTTTTTGTCCCTCTAAAATTTTTCCAAAAACGACTAATTTTTGAGAAAAAAATTAATAAAGCAAACACTGCTCGTTAAACAACGCGGTTGTCGATCAAAAGTAAGAATGAATTTTTAACGAAAAAATCTTAGTAGGCTTTGCAATCTTTGTCAGAAATATTTTTGACGTTTAAGTGTCAGTGTTTTTCTTACTATTATTATTGTTTTTCAAATTAATTTTTAATAAAGTTCTATTGCATGTACGCTCGTTCACTCAACGTTTCAAAATTTTAATTAAAACAATAATAATAGTAAGAAAACCACTGACATTTAAACGTCAAAAATATTTCTGACAAAGATTGCAAAGCCTACTAAGATTTTTTCATTAAAAATTCATTCCAACATTCAATTAACAACTCTACAACTTAACAGTAGTTAATTATTTTTTTCTCAGAAATTATTAAATTTTAGAAGAACATCAGAGAGACAAAAAAAGTTTAGAAGAGTTTTATCTATATAACTGAAATTTTTCCAATGTATCTATCATAGAAAAAATCTAGGTTACGTTTAGTAGTTTAGAAGGGTAGGTTGAAAGTACAAATAGGGTCAAAACGTGCCTTATTATGAGTTAAACATATTCCCCAAATTTTATTTTCCTAGCGTTTATGGTTTTTGAGAAAAAAAAATTAAACCAAAATTTTCCGCCATTTTTGGAGGGGTGTAGCTTTAGGGCTGTGTCCTTAGAGGAGCCGAAGTCGTCCATAGTTCATACATCAAAGTACCCTTAAAATTGCCTAAAGAATCACCCCTGAAATTTGGGCACGTCATTCAGATACACCTGTATATTTATGAAAAATTGATTAATCAGCTACATTTCATGTCACAGCGTAAATGCATGCACCATGTTAACTGTTTGCTATTTCTTGATGCTGCAAAATCGTTCATCAAAGTTGAACCCAACTTTGATGAACTTCATGAATTCTAAGCAACTTCGATGCAGTTCTATTGTCTCACTAATAATTTTATATAGAAAAATAATGTCAATACAACTCTGCTAGCACATTGATATCGTCTTTTTAGTTAACATTTCAAAAATTTAGGCATACTTCATGTTTCGTAACATTTTGCACAATTATATAAATTTAGTTTTGTATTATTTGAAATTATAATGATAATGTAGTGCCCAAAATAATTATAAAAATGATGTCGATAATTGGAAATTTTGCAGTCATGATACAAGCAACCCATCTCCGATCCGCAACGCGGGCTTTCTGAAACGCAAGGTGTACATTAGTCACGTATAACGTTCGTACTAACTCGCAACGGTAATTATGTCACATTTGCTGAGCACCCAATTTCAGTTTGTGTCTGTATTTCGACCCTTTGCGCACCATTTTTTTTTACGTTAATTACTTGTCGTCGCTTAGTTGTGTTCTTCTTTTCTTCTTGGTGTGATAAATAAAACTTCACCAAAATAAATCATACAAATTAATATAAATTTATTAAAGAAGAAAGAGCTTACTTCTAATAAAATATAATTTAAAACTGAAATTAATGACAAAAAAATTCTAAAAATAACATTTTTTTATCCTACTTTTATTTACTTTTATTTATACTACATTTTTAATTTTGAATCGTCATTTTTTTTATTTAGATCAGCAAGAAGGACAACATCTTATCCAGTTGAAGAAAAGGATCCTTTAGAAAGAACGTTAAGTATGAGACGTTACCCTTTACCAAAGACGAATCTTCTCAAACTTGGCAATCAACTGCCCGGATGATTCAATAAAAAACAAACGGGTTTAGTGCAAAAAAATAAAGATCGATTCGACCGATTATGTAAGTGAACCGAACCGTAAAAGTTGTTGCTAGATTTACATAGCGATTATATTTTTGTATTCGTAAGAAAAAAAAAGATCTATATTTCCGTTGACTTGTACTTACCAAATTTTATCTCGATACAAAAGAAAAAAACGCTAGCGCCATTCCTGGTTTTCGACCGATTTAAACTCGCATCCTGTCTATGTGACTGTAGGTTAAATGAATAAATTAAAATAATTAAAAAAAAACATTATTGAATACTCGTAAGACAAATTTGAATATAAATCGTTACCGAACCGAAAAATCGGTTGGGTTACAATCATTCGCTAATAAAGAAGCGTCTTCCGAGTGTCAAATTCAGAAAAATTTTAAATTTAGTTAAACATTACAGAGCGTATTGTTTAATATTGGTTTAATACAAATACTGAAGTAGAATTGCGTATACCTCAATACCCTTATGTTTACTTCAAATTTAATTTTTTTATAAATTTGACACCCGGATGTTTTTCTTTGTAAGTTACGATGTCAAAAATGTGATGTAAGTAGGAGATAAAAAAGTTTTCGATTTGCTGTTTTTAAAACGTAACTTAATGTGCTATTAAGAATCCCTGTTTGTGTTAATTTTAAACATGTAACAATTTTGTGTTTAAAAGGGGAAAAAGATGTAGTATAGAATGTGTTTTAGAAAAATTATTCGCATTGTAAATATTGTTTTTACTATTATGCAGAGTGGCTTCAAATAATCGAATTTATCTTTCTACATTTTATAAACGAGAAATCATAATATGCCAGACATTGGGTTGTAAGATTTAACAATGTTCCGATGCTCCTGATGAACCTTTTTAGAGTCAGGTTGAATAACGTACAGGACATGCATCTTAATTACTTTTAGAACGTTGGTGATGCCTCTTCTCTTTCGTTTTCATCTACATTTTAATCTTTTCTTTCGTATACAATTTGTGGCTTTAGCGTTATAATATTTAGAAGTTCTTGAAAGTTAATAATCTGGTTTTCTCAAAAACAGAAAAGCATTAACTCCAGATAACTGTCCCATTAATTCTCTTGTAAATAAAATTCGAAAATAATTCGACTATTTAGAAACACTCTGTAGATAATTGAAGTTTTAAAGCTGGTTAAAGATTAACTATTGTTATAATATAATGTTTAGTACTTATTTAAGTGTACCTATCAGTCTATCGGTTATTAATTTTGAAAAGATCAATTTTTTTATGGTTTTTATTTTTTTTAACAATACCTAGAGAACAAAAAGAAATTTAAAATTAGCGACCTGCAAAAGCTACATTTGTAAGTTACCAACTTGTAATATTGAATAACTCAATATTCTCGGTGGTTGTAAGTAGTTGATACATATTTATTTTCAGCAGAATGATGTATATGTGTAAAAAAACTTATGAAATAAGCCTACGTGTTAAAGAACAAAAAAATATTGAACAGTGGAGTATAAAAATGAATAAAGTTGCAATACAAAGTAGTTATAACGATTTTATTAACACATAAATTATAAAATTAAATAAAATATAAACATATTTCATCTGAGTTAAATAAAATGAATAATAATATTTATAATACATTTCATTCCCATCATCTATACAAAAAGAAATTTTTTTGAACATAAAAATGGCACAGTTTTAACAATATCTTCTTTCCAAGTTCTTTTTCTTTACCAAATCCAATAGATATTCTTTTCATTATGTTTTTATTAAATATTATTAAGACTAACAGTGCTACGACTAATAATAAGTAAATTTCCACTCTTTTTATCTTTAGAAAAGTTTTCTTGGGCTCCTACACTAAAATCAATCTTGCCAGGTTTACCTGGTTTAACATACTCAATCCTAAAAGTAAATTATGTTAATATCATTTTTTTTAATTTGCAATTTCGTTTGTTTACGTGTCAGTTTTAGCAAAAATAATTTTTTCAGGCTTCTTAGTGATGTCAACGGTTAAAGTTAACGCTTCGATTAAATGAGGCACTTTTAAAATTAAATCGCCCTTATCAGCTTTTTTCATTTCATCTGGGATTTTTACCAATACGAAGCTATTTAATTCTGGTGAAATAATAAATTCCAATTTATCCAAAGGAAATTTATGTTTCATTTTTAGTTGTTTTGGTTTAGGGTCGATTAAACAAAATGAATTGTTAGTAACCACCATGATACGATCCCTTTCTTTAAAGCCACGCCGATCGTATTTTATAACAGGTGAACAGTACTTTAAAGAAAATAAATTTTAAATTAAAATTAATAAAAAAACAATATATTTTTTCATTACCCTTTGTTTCTCATCCAAAATGGTATCAATCGAAATATCAGGCGCTGATAATCTATTAGTTACAAACCAATGCGGAAGACTTTCGGGATAATTCGCTTTTTTACCCTTAAATAATTTTTCAGCCAAAATCTTTTGTTCAAATGCCAATTTTCTTTCGGGGGTTAATTTTTTGCGATAAACCCTTGACATATGAGAGGCGTAATATTTTTCCAAATGCGCTGATGCCTCTCTACAACTGTGTGGACATGGTGGCCAGGTTCTTTTTAAAATATTCGTTGGAAGACTTTTTGATAGTCTTATCAACCAATTCCGTTTTGCCATTTCAACGAAATCTTTGTTACAGTCGTTAACTGGCCCATTTCTTGTTATAAATCCTTTAATGAATCTATTTAAAAAAGAAAATTAATTCCACACGAGTTTGGGTACAAGTTTATTTATGTCCGCGACCCCACAAAAGATAATGGTGAAAGAATTAAGGATAAACTTTATAATAAGCTTACAGCAACCCTTAAAGAACGATCCCTAAGGGACACCTTTAAGTCATAAAGACATAAACCTAATGATACGATCACATCAAGTCGCCAATGAAGTCTTAGCAAAACTCGATACGGCTGTACGAGGATCTAAAGAATGGATAACTTCATATATCTGGGAACCAACATCTCTGGTGACTTCAATGACCTCATCCAGCTTTGAAGGCTGCAGTGGGTCGACCACGTGTGGTGGATGGATGAAGGCAGAATACTCAGACTTGAGAAAGGAGGCCATGAGGATCAAATTTGCGACGTGAAGAACGCGATCGCTGGACCGGGATGGTCGGAGATAGTAGATATAAATATAAATAAAAAATGATATTAATTAATTAAAATTATCTTACTTTCTAATAACAAGAACCGCAGCTTTTCTTCTTTCAGCTTCTTTTTTAGCCAAATGTCTCCTCATATATTTTTGCACAATAATAGCAGCTTGTCTCATTTTTAAATATTTCCTTCTTTGAAGTATTCCTTTATATTTTGATTGAATAATTGCTGCTATATCATGTTTTTTAGCTTGGAAGGCGTCTTCTGTGTCAAATAAAGTTTTTGGGAACCTTATAAAAATCTTTGTCCTAAAATTAAAATTAAATCAAATCTTTTTTATTAATATAATTTTTTTAATACTAACTTTCCCATCCTGTATTCATCACGATCATAACCTAAACAAGCAACCAAAGTTTGAACGCCTTCTTTAGCTGGTCCTCGATAATTAGGCCACGTTTCTCTTGATAAACATTTATAACGTTTTAAAAAGAGTTCGTAAGCTCTTCTGTACGCAAAACCAGCTCTTCGTACTCTCAAATTTTCCATCAATCCAAGATATTTCACTTGATGTTTTACCAAATCAATGTCAAATACTCCGGCTTTTTTATAATCGTTTGGTTTTATGCAACGAACATAACTCGGTTCTTTCGTTTTTAATATTGCCATTAAATTATTTAAAGAATTTTTAAATTGAGTAATTGCAGTGTCGGGACGTTTCTTTGAGTTTAACTCAGATTCAGGGAATAAACGACTAACAATAGAATTTTTGGATTCAGCCATTGCTTCTTTTAAATCTCTAAAAAGTAAATCGTTGTTTTTGTCAATGAAGGAATTAATACTATATGTTACTGGTCCAGCGTAATGTTGCAGTCTAAATTCCTAAAAGAAGTATGAATTAGATTTTGTAATTAGCTTTTTGATGTAATTTATTTACATCTCTTCCCATAATTTTTTGAGTTTGAATATCTGCTCTTTGATGACAAAGATAATGATCATGTCCGCCTAAGTTTATATTCATTTTCGCTAATAATGTTTTATCCGTTGGTTCTCCCGGCCTTAAACATTCCTCGTCCATTAAAGCAATAATTCCTTTATGTCTTTCTTCAATTAAATCGCAAATAACTTTATTATCAAAATATTCAACATGTTGCCATTCGATTCCTTCTTTTAAATACTCTTCTTGTTCGGATCGTAACGTTAATTCGATGAATAATTGTTGAAGTTTTTCATTGCAGAAATTGATGCAAAGTTGTTCGAAACTAAATGAAAGAAAAATAATTATTTATGTTATTTATTGACCGTCAAATAAATTACCTATTCTTTTGAAAGACTTCAAAACCGTAAATGTCCAATATACCCATGACCCGAATCCTTCTTATATCGTCAGTCATTAACGAATCGTTTAGTCGCGAAACGAGCCAACTAAAAAGTCTATCATAAACCGCTTTCGCCAAAGCATCCCTTGCGTAAATAGACATTTCTTTATCCAAAGGAGAGACTACAACGTCTCCTCTGGCTTCTCTCGTTCTGTGAGTTAAAGCATGAACGATCTTGTCAACGTTGCATTCAATTAATTTAGAAATATTCTCGATTGGAGTCATCTTTTCGACTTTAGTAATATTTTCGTCTTCCTTAAAGGTTACGTTTCCCAGATGTAAAATACTTGCGATTATTTTAAACATAGAGGTTTGTTCTTCGCTTGAAAATTCGGTTATGTTTAAAGCTTTACGGACTTCATCGTATCCTTTTTTATCATCTAACGAATCAACATGAGCGTTTTCCTTTAAAATAAATTTTGTTGTTATTAAAAAACAAATTATGGCGTTAGTCGGTTAAAAATAGATCGCATGATGAGTAATATTCAAAACATATGCGACTTTATTACTTAACGTATAAACAAAAGCACTTAAACAAAAATTTAAAAGGGATACCTAACTTACGTTATCATGAAGGTAATGATATTCCTTTGTTGATCTTTTTAACATTAAGCTTTCTAATTCTGAGTCCGATCCACCAGATAATAATTGATAAAATATATGGAAATTTCTTTCACCAGCAACTTGATAGATCACCCTGCTTTTTTCCAATAAATAACTAAGAATTTCACCTCCAACAGGATCACCCTTAGTTCAAATGAAAAAGTTTATTGAAATTATTTTATTATCTTATTTAAAAAAATTACCAAAACATTAAATTGTACATCCATATATTTCCCAAATCTACTCGAATTATCATTTCGATTTGTTTTAGCGTTTCCGAAAGCCTCCAAGACCGGATTCGACTGTAACAATTTGTCCTTGACCCTATCGACTTCGCCCTTGTGAACCGTCACTTCGGCTATGTACTGTAAGATTTTCTTCGAGGCTTCGGTCTTCCCCGACCCGGACTCGCCTTGAAATTAACGAGACCTCATGATATCATTACTATTTAAAACAGAATCACCAAAGAAAGATGACAAGAAAACCAACCCAACTTGACCCTTTTTTTTCTTTTAATTTCGCAAAAAGCCCATAAAACGACAAAAGTAAAATAAAAAAGAATGTCTAGTAATCTTTCTGGTACGTTTTATCGAATTTTATCTTAATTACCTGATATCAAAATGCATTGATCGATGTTTTCTTCTTTTAAAGATGTGTAAGCCGCATCGGTTACCGCGAATCTAGAGTGAAATAAAAAAATTAAAATAAATCGACGAGAAGTTATTTTGAAGTAGGTAAATTTCTTTGGAATTTACGGATTGAATATTAAAATTTTTCGCACGTACTTGCACGCCATAAATCAAATGAATCTAGATTATCAATTATGTTAAGTATTTTTTGTAATAAATCATGCAACGTTTACAATCTAAAAAAGTTATCTTCTCTATACAGGGTGTCTCAGCGAGACCGGTCATTAGACGTTTCTGTGGTTCTGGCCAAAATAAAAAATTGAGAATTCAGACTTAAGTATTATCAATTACGTTCTCTTCGTCTAAAATATTTTCAGATTTCTTGCACTTCCGGTTATACCGGAAGTCGCCACCTACTTTATTTTTTTAAATGGAACACCCTGTATATTTTTACATATTTGGATTTGTCTGTTTTCAAGGTTTATAAATAACTTTACTTTTTGCAATTTGATTCGGCCGTTCTCGAGTTATTCGAATTTTTCTAGAAAAATCTGCTCCAGCAGACATTTGTTCAAAAAATCAGAGAACACTCGATTTTTGGGATATCAATTTAGGATTCAGAACATGCTTAAGCAACATGATGGAGTATGTTTTGGTGCCGAGAACGGCTGTCTAGAACGTTTGGTCACTTTACTATGGCACGTTAACTTTTCAAAATTTGGAAGTACCATAACTTCATTTTTTTAAATGGCACCCCCCATATTTTATTACTTAGTCGTCTTCGGCGTCTCATTCTACATCTTTTATATCCCATATGTCCCATACCTAACATTAATAGTTTGGGAGATAATTAGGGTTTTTTGAAAAATGCACACATATCATATGGATATTTAGCCTAGTGTGCCATGAAAAACAAGCCTTCTCAATGAGTTCTTGTCAAAGACTCACTTGTTTACGTCACTTGATGCATGTGAGCTAATAATTATCTGTTATGTCCCTTAATATTAGTACTGAAACGAGTTAAAATCGATAACAATAACGAAAGTAATATTTACACAAATCAAGAAATTCTTAATTTATTTTTTTTGCATGAAAAGCGCGACAAAGTTCGTAGTATGATTCCCAGATCTTCTTTGGCAGCTCGAATTGAGGTGTTGGGACTGGGCTCGAAATAAGCCAAGGTATTCACCTCTTCCGTTGCATTATCTACTACATTTTTTGGTCAGTTTAACACGTGATTAATTCGTCCAAAATGCAAAAAATTTGCTTCTATTCCTCTAAATTTACCTTTTGTCATCGGAGATAAATGTGGATAATTTTCATTAAACATTCTGCAAGTTCTACTAAGAACTTTGTCGCACTTTTCGTGCACAAAAAATAAATTATGGATTTCTTCATTTGTATAAACATTATTTACGTTATTAATATCCATTTTAACTGGTTTTAGACTCACAAGCATCAAACAACCTAAATTAGACTTTGACGTTTATCAATAAGTCATTAAACATTTGTTTTCCATGGCACACTAGGTTAATATCCATATGATATGTGAGCATTTTTCAAAAAACCCTAATTATTTCTCAAACTATTAATGTTAGGCATAGGACATATGGAATATAAAAGATGTAAAATGAGACGCCGAAGACGACTAAGTAATAAAATATGGGGGGTGCCATTTAAAAAAATGAAGTTATGGTGCTTCCAAATTTCGAAAAGTTAACGTATCATAGTAAAGTGACCAAACGATCTAGACAGCCGTTCTCGGCACCAAAACATACTCCATCATGTTGTTTAAGCATGTTCTGAATCCTAAATTGATATCTCAAAAATTGAGTGTTCTATGATTTTTTGAACAAATGTCCGCTGGAGCAAATTTTTCTAGAAAAATTCGAATAACTCGAGAATTGCTGGTTCAAATTGCAAAAAGTAAAGTTATTTATAAACCTTCAAAACAGACAAATCCAAATATGTAAAAATATACAGGGTGTTCCATTTAAAAAATTTAAGTAGGTGGCGACTTCCGGTATAACCGGAAGTGCAAGAAATCTGAAAATATTTTAGTCGAAGAGATCGTAATTGATAATACTTAAGTCTGAATTCTCAAATTTTTATTTTCACCAGAACCCCAGAAACGTCTAATGACCGGTCTCGCTGAGACACCCTGTATATCCGTTGGAAGTAAATGTTTATTGGCAATTTTAAATTTCATTATTTTTTTATAAGACTTATTGAAGGAATTTCCGGAAGAAGATGAAAAAGTATTTGGATAAAGAAAAACATACACTGCGAATAGGTATCGTGAATATAAAATCACTCAACAATCGTGACCAAGAAATAATAGAAGAAATAGCTTAAAGAAAGAAAGGTAGATAATACAGCCCAGAAGACTGTAAATCTACAGAAGCGACCGAACTGTCTATTTGTTGTTCTCTAAATTAAAAAATATAAATAAATAAAATAAACATTAATTGAAAATGAAATGGTCTTCTTTCAATTATTCAGTTAATTCCTTGTCGCGAATTTAAAACAGATTCCATGAGATTCTTCCACTTTTTATAAATCGACTCGGTTCGATTTATGTAATAGGAATAGAAAAAAAAATATTATTTTGCAATTAAGACATTCTAAATACAAGATGTGATTACTGAATTGTACAATATTAAGTAATCATGGATTCATTCCAAAAGTTTTATAATCATAAAATTATACGTGAAAGAGCGTATTCAATCCTTTCTAACTACTTCCTAAATGAAAGAGTAAAAATAAAAGATGTTATTGCTAAATTGTTAATGCAGTTATTTTTACGTTCAAACATTTGATGTAGGTAATCAATTTTTTATAAATGTTTTTAAAAACTGAAAATAAAAATTAATCTTTAACACTTGTAGTAAACATATTTGAAACAAAATTTCAATGGATTAGTAATTCTCGCAATATCAAAGATTTTTTCATTAAAACATGTTTTTAATATATTTTTTTATCTTATAGATTAGATTATATTAGTTATAGTGTTTATAGAGTGTAAACTGCGAATTTCGAAATTTATTTTTACTAGGTACTCAATCAAGGCTGTAACCCAAAAATTATTACTTACACGTGTGGAGAATTCTCAAAGAAATGCTTATTTTCGTATTCCTTTATTACAGATGTCGTGTAAATATTTAATTCCTTGTAAGGATTTACTGAAATGACTACGGGTCCAATATATGTCTGAAATTAAGAAAAAAATTAATCAAATTAAGTGTGATGGCATTCTGAAAATATTTTAATCCCATTTAAACATCACGATTTAATCGATTTCCAATAATAGAAGATTACGCAGTTATTTTAATGAACGAGAGTACTTATCTACCTCTAGATTATAATATCCAATCCACTTTCTACTTTTAGTAGTTGTAATAATATAACAGGTTTAAAATTTTAAATTACTTCAAGTACACTTTTTGTATCTATAAAAATGTTTTATCGGTAACAGTAAGTTTTTTACAACAATTTTATTGTAAATCATCTATTGACAAGCGTATTAAATCATAAACGAACTCGGAAACATAGAAATTCGAGTGTACGATATCGTATTTCGTTCAAGTTTTTTTATTTTTTTTCGTCGATAGGATAACTAAGGTTTCACGACATAACTTCTATAGTATCGTTTCACTCGTCATTGTGGATTAAGGAGAAATTTAAATTGAACCAAAGTTTGAAACGTGTACGAGGGGGAAATTGTTTATTTCCATTGCTAATACAGAAAGAGCGAAAGTTTTGCATGTCTAATTTTAAACATCATTGTCACGCTTATTCGATGACAAATACTACAAATGTATACTTGTTTTTACTTTCACAATGCTATTTATCTTTTTAAGTACTCTTTTTAATAGAAGATAATGTTATAAACTTTAAGACACAACAGCTTGTTTATTTGAAAATTTTCGTCTTAACATTGACGTCACTTGGTTTGGTCATGATTTTCTGAGAAATTATAAGCAATACATGCATTCTAGACGTATTAAGTTATCAAATATTAAACAACTCAACGGATATGCTAAATTTTTTTGTTTCGGATATAAGAAACTGAATGTGTTTGGACTTGGACCCGAATCCGTGAATGGACGCTAACTATACAGGCAGCTATAACCACTAATCGTAAAAATATGGGAACAAGAAGTGATCCCTGACGAATGGAAAGCAGGCATAATATATCCAACACATAACAGGGGTGATAAATTGAGGTGTTTTCACTATAGCGGGATGTCGCTGCGTGCAGAATAAAAGGTCCTGTCATTAATCCTCAATAACAAGCTGCAACCAATCATAGGGACCTTGCTTGGCGAATACCAGGCAAATTTCAGGTAGGGCAGATCAACCACACAACGCTGAGCTTGGGAACACAACGTAGATGTTCACAACATCTTTGTTGATTTTCGTTAGGCATATGACAGCATACACAGAGAACAGCTTTATAAGATCATGTATAAGATGGAGATTCCTGCCTAATTCTTTAGACTAACAAATATTTAGAGACTTATTTAAAATAACACAAGGCGTGAAACATGGAGATGGGCTGGTCTTGACTGTTTTCAACTTAGCTCTGAAGGAATTTGGGATCGCATTATAAAGAAATACCTTTGGAGAGCGAGGTATAACCACGAAATATCCAACTATGAGACTACGGTGTGCGGGACCCGTTATCAGGATGGAAGATTGATAGCAGGAGTCGTCCAATTCAGGAGTCAACCAATTAGTTGTTTTTCTTTTCGCAGTTACATGTCCTAGAATTCTACCGCTTCTATTATTATTCTTCTAATGTTATTCTACTGTTCTATAATTGATCTAGTATGAGTATTCATCAGTTACTGTTTGATTTCTTCCTCAAAACTTTCCCTCATTTTCACGTTTGTAAGGTTGTTGAAATTTATTCGTTTAGGATTTTGATACTTTGTATTGTTTCTTAAGATTATGTATCTGAATTTGCATTAGACTAACAGGCGGTCTAAGCCTCTACATGTTTTTACATCTAAGATGCCAGTAGCTACCCTTTTATCTATTAAGACGTGATCTAGTTAGGTTGGATTTATTGTCACATTTTTGCTTGCGGTAAAATTTATTAAAAATTCGCCATTTCCGCTTGTTTGATCCTGTTACGATCTATAATGTTTCCTATTCTCCTAGAAATTGTGTTTATTTTCGTATTTTAGCACTCACGTCCCCTAGAAAAGTTTGTTCCTTATCTTCGTCTTCTTGTTTGTCTGTTCAAGAATGTCAAATTAAAGAATCCCATACATATACGGGTGACCAAAAATGGGTGTTATCAACGTATTAATACCTTATCATGTTGAGTGAAATATATTGCACGATAAAATGTTTACTACAAATTGATGTTTAATATCATCTTTGAACATTCTTTCTTTCTAACGTAATTTTCTGCTTATCTTGGGCAATCTCCACTCAACGCAGTGACTGTTTATTTATAATAATTGAAACAAATATCTTCTTCCGAGAAAAAATTCCAATTTCTCGATCAGATCTTAAAATTTCCTGTTTACGTGAGACTAACCCAAAAAGTTACTTTTGGAAATTATATAAAAAACAGATGCTGTGTAATTGTAAAAAAATCTTGTACTAATTAAAGTTTTATCATTATTTTTGTTATAATAATAACTTTTTCGTTCCGTAATAAACGTTCATTCCCTCTTTCGTTTACTCTTTTAAGTACGTTGGTGTTAAAGATCTAAAACCATAATAATGAACCGTTCACCTCTCTATATATAACCTCAAGCAACTTAACCAATGTATTCGTAGTGAAATAAGATGACGATACGATCTGGAGAAAGTAATAGAAAGAATAGAAGACGTAGCGTCTCATTTTTTTCGGTTAATTCTTATTGAATTGGGTATTAACGGACCACCTGATAAATTGTTGTCTTGGTCTTACGTATGTGTGTTGGAACGGATGGCATATGGCTTGGCGCGAAGACCATATCGGCGATGATTTCCTTGTCCACCCAGTTTAACGGCATAGAACGGCCGGAAGTCGGCCGTTCGGTTGTGTGACGAGATTGCCAACTTAACGATACCGGAAAATAGGTTTACTCGATATGATGATCACCAGAAACTGATGCATATTAATGAATACAACGGTTTTTTCTAATGTTTACAAGAAATAAAAATGTTTTATTATTAAGAATATCTTTTGTGAACTTTTTAATCTTGAATAAACGATGCGATTGTGTCATACATTGACTCATCAACAGAATACTCTTTTTTAGTCCGCAATGATGAATAATTTTATTTAGCTTTTATTTTTCCACCTGCATAAAGTTTCAATGAAAATTATATTTTATTTTTATACTTACAACAGTGAGTCAGTCTGCAACAATTTTTTAATCTGAATAAAATAATCTCTTTTTTGAGACTCAAGATTTTAACGATAAATAATTCCTTGAAAATAACTTAGATAAACATTCAAATGCATTTTATTATAGTTTAGATCATCTTAATATCATGTATTACATATTTACATTGAATAAATATTTGCAATACACATCATCTCTATTATTATTCTATTGCGTAAATAGCGTTTAGCCCTTTTCAGACTTTTCTTTAAGTAGCTTCCAACCATATTATACAACTAATCAACAACTACTTTAGAACGAAAAAATTAAGATCCATCAACATAAATGTTTGAAAATCGTTGTCGTAAAGCTATTTAACGGTTTTTCATTATCTTTAATAGTTTCGAAGTTTGTTTTAATGATTTTTAACCGTTTCTAAAATTTCAGCCGTTTCTAACGATTGTCACCTGCTCCGACCTGTATATTTTCATCGGCATTGTGCTATTTACATGTAAATTAATTAATGGACTGCACCCTAATCGCTGCGAGCATCACGGCAGATGGGCAAAGTCGACCTTTTGGCACGAAGTTGTGCCACGATGAATCGAAATTGTCTATCTTAAGCCGGATAGACAATGCCATGGAAATTGATTTATGACTTTTGAAGAGGATTATTAATTACTTTTATCGAAATGAGGATAAAATAAAATTATTTAGTTTTTAATAAAAAATAACTTAATATTTATTTATTTATTTTTTGTATGTACTTTTGTATTTTCCGGGAAATATAAATTGAATATACACGTATACTTTTTCAAATTATGAAAAATTCATTGAAATAATGAACACCATCTATAAATTAAATAGAAGAAGATTACAATAGCTTCCATGATTTAGGTGCAAGCAATAGATAATCAGAAGTACAGGTTATATGGTGACAGTATGTACTTAAAAATAGTCTTCCATTACCGGGTTCCTCCTTCGTCTACCAATACGTCTATCTAGTTATCATCTCCGACATCTTTCAACATCATCTTGTGATATCCTGGTAATATTCCTGCTATATCTCGCAAACGAGTAGTAATCAGACGAAACAAACTTTGATTACCGTAGTGAGTAAACCGCATGGGAAAGTTTCCCAACTAAACGCCTCTAGTCAAAGAATCTACGTGTGATTATCAAGGAAAATCACTTTGTATTGCTTTCTTTTATATTTTGATCAATTTATACGCAAAGCTCGACTCAAATCGATCAAAACCTACCGACATTTCCTGTATTATCAGCACATCATAATAGATCACACTTTGATTGATTGCATTCTGTGATTTACCAAAGAGCATGCTCACCGTAAGTTTCAACAAACATTCGATACGATTTTTGTCCTCAAATCGTAGCTCTAAAATTGATACATGTGATAAGTACGTAAGTACGTGATGTAACTATTACATGCTGTAGTGGTTCAATAATATCATTATTTTAATCGGTATCAATGATGTTATAGTATTTTTAATTACCACCATGAACAAGAAAAGTTCACTGTTCTCATCTATTGTCCGCAAACTCTAATTCAGGTCGACGACTGACTTGGAACTTTTTTTCTTATTAATAAATTCTTAATTTAAAAAGTATGATCCAAACAACAAAATCAAATTAATGTAAGAAGTTTCAAAAAAATTGCTGTTACCCAATATAATAATTAACTCGCTAAACCATGATGAAATATGGTGCGCTTAAAAGTTTTTAATAACCCTAATAACGGATATTGTGTAAATAAAGATAAGTTGATAATATAATGAAATTATTATCTTTTTATCATCAATAGTCTTATTAGTAACTGAAAAAATAATTCTTAAGAAACAATAATTCATTATAATAGAATAGCTTTCACATCAACCTTCTCCGTAACATAAAACAACCTTTTACGAGGAAAAACTTTTCTCTTCTCAGCAGGAAGAAATCGATTTGAATGAATTAACAAACGGTAAAACGGCCGAAGAAACACCGCACCATGTCGTGTCGTCCCACACACAAACCCATTGTCATCAACCTGCCAAGGTTGTCCCCGGTGCTGAACGCGCAAGAAAACCGACACCGACCTCTTTATAAAAAATAAAAACCTTTCTTTTAAACGCACTGTTTAAGCACCAAAACGTAACTAAACTACTTATTATTATCACTTACGTATATCAAGTTCTCTGAGAAGCGTTTCTTCAAATTGTTCACGAAGACGTCCTCGTTGGTGTAGTCCTCTAGCAAAACCGAATCTTGCACTCCGACTTTATCACGATCTTTTAATGATGTTTCCATAATTCTTCAATTTCTTTAAATTAAATATAAAATTAATTAAATACGAAAATTTCACCCACAAATCGATTTATTTTTAAGTAATTATTATTACCGGCGGATAAATTAGCAAACAAATTAGAACAATAAAATTTAAATGGTTGTTTTAATGCATCGTTGATTGAAAAAGCGAAACTTGGAAACGCGCGAAGAAAGTGTAATTTCGTTTTATAGAGACGATGATGAAAATGACGAAAGGATAAAATTACGAAAACGGCGACGTTCTCGACAAGCGACGCTCCCGCGAGCGAATGAAACGATTTGCTGCTCGAAGAGTAGGCGAAGTGTGGAGTTCGACGACGAAAGCGACGACGATACACAACGCTATACGCGTAGATTTTAATTTGAGGTCGTTCTTTGCGATCCAAACGAGAGGAGACTTCTCTAACTTTATAGTTAAGATAGTTTTTATTTGCTTGGTTTCTCCAGTTCTTCAGAAAAAATTTCTAAAAGAACGGGTGTGATTTAAATTAAATTAAAAGTTAACTCATACTACTATATTTTAAAATGAAACAAAAATATATTATGAATTATAAAATTAGCTAAAACAATTTTGTAAATTATAATAATTAATATTTATTGAAATTTTAAAGAAAAAATTAGACCTTCGATAATATTGGGTAAGAACAAATTAATATATCTTCGAGGAATATTGGATCCATAGATTAGTAGATTCGGGTACGATCATTTTGATGTCCAGGAATGGCACAAAATAATCATTCAAGGAAGATCATAGCATCAACTACTTAGATCAATGATCTAGAACAATGAATCATCTGAACATGAATAGAGAGGATGATGTAGAGCTAAGCCGAACCTAGAAGAATTTACTGTTAGGTCCTAGAAATTTTGTCATTTTTGAATTTGTTTCTGAAAAAGGTTTGCAACATTGGATCCAAAAGTTCTAGTTTTAGTTTTATTCCTAATAAAACCGTGGACGCATACAAACCTTTATAATAAATAATAATAATTAAAATAATTGTAAAGAGATAAGGTCAAGGCGTCATGATCTAATTCGATTAAAAAGTGGTTTCAATGTAGAATACAAAATTAATATTTATTTCAAGTTTTGGAACTTTCCAAGCAAACATTAAGGTTTTGAAGAAGTTAATAATCCCTTTTTAGTGAGGAAGCGACATACTAATATTAATAGCCTTGCCATTGTAGTCATAGAAAACCTGATCAATAATCAACAAGCAACGATATTGGTTTACTTACGTCCATAATTACGATAATGAACTTTGTAATCTTAAATGAGACGTAAAACTTTTTCTTGCTAATTTAGACAGAATATAATTTATATAAATTGAGAAAATTCCTTTAGACTGTTATGACAATTTCCTTAATGAATATGATACTACAAACGAAGACGTCATTGATAATGTTACTTTATTGATAATTTTTATCAGTGTTACTTCAAATAGCAGCAGCAAACATTAGCAAAGATCAACAGATTAATCTATTCTTTATTATTGCTAATACTATCTTCAAAACGAAAGTGAAATTAAAAAAAAATTGCCGTTATAAATTTTATTCAATTTTTTTCCTATTATTATATTTACTTTGAGTAAAGAATTTATTTCAAAACCTTTTAAATTATTATCAATTGGGAATTTATAAGGATTATATTGTTTGTTTTTAAATCCTAAAGATGAGACTTTTGTGAAAAATGTTGTAATTAAAGTGAATAAATCTATGAGTGTAATGCTGAGAATTAGCATATTTAAGCGGTAAAAACCTTAATTTTATGGGATGTTTAATAATAAATTTACAAATAATTAATAAAATACGAAACATTTATATCTTCGTTTACGTAATTTCTATAAAGTTCCTGAATCATCAAAAAAATTTAATGTGTCTTTAGATAATAATGAATTACTTCGCGATAAATTGCACTCTATCTGTTCGTTAATGTCATAAAGGTAATTTGGATTAAGGATTATTACTCTAGCAGTCCTTTACATTTAAACTTTAATTTAATATAAAAGTTAAACTTTACTGGCATCAATAAAATATTTAAGTGTATCACACTGCACAAAAAGGTGTTTCTTATTGTTATTTCATTGTTACGGTTAACAATTGTATTCATGATTATAATTACGAAAGATGATAACTGATTCAAACCCCATTAGTTCTTTGATTGTATAATTAATAAGTACATTATCAATTAATGCAAAAATTTGTAGTTTCTGCTGGTTTCGATCTAATAAACTTCATTATAATCATCATTGGCTTTTAATGTCAATGATATCCTCCTTTCTTATGCAAATATATTTTCCATACTCTTTGTCTTTATTGGTATGTTAATAATCCTTGTCGTTATTAATGCGCAGATGAAATCATAGATAATTTATTATTGACCAACATCTTTGGTTTACGCCCTAAAATCTTGAAGATATGGGTTACCTTCATCTCCAAAATTACGTTTGATACAAAGTATGTTATTTAGGTCTGAAAAAGGAAATACATATTTTTCTATACAGTCCGCGTGAAGTTTCCCATCTAATTCGAAAACGGTTCGAACGTTAATTTTTTTAAATTAGTAGCCTATATATATATACTATATATTTTAGTTTTCTGCAATTGAAACTAATTGGCCGACCATCAATAGTAGTTACGATAGGCTTGAGATGAAAATCCATATCGTTATTGTTGAAAATATAGTAGGTACTTTTTCCTTTAAATTCCGCGTTCCCACTTGTCGGATGAATGTGAATAGCTCCATATAAAACGCGGTGCCACTAGAACATCCGACAACCACACCGCGTAGCTAAAATTTTGTAATTTACACATGATACGTAGAAATCTTCAGCACTGTTGCGAAGATATCGATCTTTAAATTGGAACGGGGTCTTGAATTTTGGCACCAATAGTAGTTTCAGAATAAATATCTACCGGGGTTGTATGTATAAAATGACAAGGTATTGTAAAGTAAATTAAATTCTTGTAAAAATTAATTAATACTATGTATTGATAAATGTGTGAGTAAAATGTAAATGCCTGAGTTCAGGCAGCTTTGTAATAAATGAAAAAATTCTGTTATTTTTGTAAAATAGATTGATACATTTCCCTCTTAATGTCAACGTATAATGCCAGTGGTTGGCATATTCGCGATGTTACGGGTCAAATCTTTATCATTTTGGTGAAGAAAAAAATGTACTCGAGTGTGAAATAAGTTATTGAATTAAGATTTATTGAATTATAAACACAAAATATAATGATTGAATTTTTTTTTTTTTTGCGAAAAATTACATAAACCATTACCTAAATAAAGATTAGTTTGTCTTTTTTATTTGCTGTGATAACATCGATTATATAATTTTGCAGGAAGTTGAATATTTATTCATAAGAGGAAATTTCGAAAATTATTGTGTATTGAACGCAATTTTTAATAAACGATTTTTGATTTCTCATTAAACATTGCATTAATTCATCAATCAGTAATAAAGATAAGATTGCCTGTTTTTATTACAAGTTTCCAAAGAACTTAAAAATTCATACGAAATGAGTACGTAATGTTTGTGTCGGTTTTAAAAAAGGGAAAAAATACCGAGTTAAACAATCAATCACCGCCAGACCATTAACTAATAAACTCCGATACTATCTCGTCAAATAATAAAATTAAAGGCTGTCTCCGATATAAATTATTATCGCGTACAATCTACGAAGATTCTGTCGTTATATAACAATTTTTAAAATAAAAAAATTCCAATCAATCCGAAAATAAAAGAAATAATTTTGAATTATTTAAAAATATATACATAAAAATACTCTATTAATTTAATTGAGATAGTATTTTTTAACTCACCGTTCGTATCGTTTCGTCTACAAGATCTTGGCCACGACTAATGTTGCGCCCATTGATACAATCGACATCAAAACGATGATAACGTACTTATCAAATATTATCTAAACCTTGCGTTATTTACGTATTACCTATACGTGTTATAAAATAACTAAAACAAAGTAACATTTATAATCTGAATTAAACGACAGTATGTTGAGAATATTGAGAAACCTCTTGTTTTTTATGTAATAGTTACAAAATGTTGAGTGAAGAATAATGCGAACTGTATGATGATTAAAGATCTATGAGATAAAGTCGAAGCCGCTTGCGGCTGAGGCGCCACAATATGATGACCACTTTCAGGTTCATATATTAATCCATGTGACAAAACCGAGGTTGCTAGCGTTAATATAATATTAATCACGAAGCCTCGACTTAATTAATCATAAACTACAACTTCACGCGATATAGCCGAGGTCGGTTGCGGCCCCCGGCGCCATAATATGATGACCACTTTCAGGTTAATATAATATTAATTTAGGCCGATGCTCAGTGACTGCAATCGACCTTGGCTTAATTAGTCAAAAGATCCATAACATAATGAACTAAAGCCAAAACCGCCTTAACATGATGAAAGGTTTTAGGTTAATATATGCAATAATGACTGATAAGTGATCAGAGCTTTTTAGTAACTTAATGTCCAATAACTGAAATATATAAAATTGAAGTAATAAATAAAATAAGGATTAAAATTAATTTTTTAAACCTACATTTAAATCATACATTTATTTACTATATATAAATAATTATATGTACAACATTTATAAATCTGGGCGAACCATGAAACCAGGACCAGGTGGTTCTGATTTTAAGGAAGTAAATTCTCCATGTGGTTCAGCTGCAAAGCGACCACTTCTTGGACCAGCTCTTGGTTTCTTACCACTTTTTAAATCATTTAAAATTTCTTTCGTATCTTCCACAGTTAAATCTTCCTATAATAACACGAAACAAATAAATTCCGACTAAATTAAAACCAACTAAAATTTAAAAATTGCTTACATAATAATCATCATTGATTGAAAGCATCGGGGCATTAACGCAAGCTCCCAAACATTCCAATTCACTTAATGTGAACATCCCATCTTTGGTCATTTCTCCAACTTCAATTTTTAATTCACTTTTAATGGTGTTTAAAATTGAATCTGAACCACGTAACCAACACGGAGTTGTAGTGCATACACCAATGTGGTATTTACCAGTTGGTTTTCTTAAAAACATAGTGTAAAATGTGGCTACTTCATAAACCCTCATACGAGGTAAATTTAAAATTTCAGCTACTTTATGCATAGCAGAAATTGGTAACCAACCATGTTGACGTTGAGCTAAATCCAATAAAGGAATCATGGCGGCTCTCTTATGACCTTCCGGGTAAATTGCCATAATCGCATCAGCCCTCTAAAAGCTACTTTTTAAAATTTACTTTTTCAAGAAAGAATAACCCAACTGACCTTTTTATTTTCAGGTGTAAAATCAAATGGGATATCGGGGTTATCTTCTTTTGTATCGCGATGTACAAATAAAGCATCAGATTGTAGAGTAGAAGAAGTTTGAATTAATCTCGCGTTTGGAGACCGCAACTGAAGTGATTTAATTATTTTTTAGGTTAGGTTATGTAACTTTGTTTTTATGTGTAAAAATTTTAAATATTATAATTTTAACAATACTTACCAGGCATTGGGTCATTTTTTGTAAACTCGAAAGCATTTTGGAAAGGATATTTTAGTGTTAAACGTTAAGTTTTTTGTTATTTTGGTTTTAATCCGTTAAAAATGACAGGTTATGGAAATTGACGTATAATTATGACGCCATCTAACGTTCAAATCCTCCACTGCATTTTCTTATTATTTTAAATTGTTATTAATTATTATGATACCTATATAGAAATTAAAACAAAAGTATTTTATTTAACCATTTAATATGTAATTTCTGGTGGCCAATCTAAATTAATAGATACAACATCTAAAGCAATAAGTTCAGCTTCATCTCCAATAATAGTTCCAATATTTGGAAGAGTTCGTTCAAAATCGCCATGAACAAATTCTTTAACGTAAGTTCCAGCTTGTGTGTTAATATTTAATATAAATAAATAAGGAGACCCCTCAACTTTTTTTGTGTCCATCTTATGAATTGTTCGTTCTCTAACTGCTAAAGGTCTCCTATGTAAAACACGAATTGGCGTTTGCTGCTTAATAACAAATGGATTTAAACCAGTTTCATTCATTTTATCAATTTGTTCTTGAGTAATATCATTCTTTGTTCGACACAAAGCTTGATAATCTTTAGTTTTTAATTCTTCGCCTTCCTTTATTTTCGATAAATCTGATTTACAGGTTATTTGCAAATCGCGTACTTTAATCATTGTTGATTCATTTACGTTTTTTTCTAATTGTTTAAATTCTTCTTTAGTTAAATGCCGTTTAGGGTCCGCAATTTCGATGTAAAATGGTCGCCCCTTTCCAATACAACGAACGTCGCAATCTTCTCGCCCGCTAGCGGAGAATTTCATATCTTTTTCGCAAATGTTAAAAAGTTTCGTAATACTTTCGAAAATGATTTCTTGCACTGATGACTCTTGAAGTCGAATTCCATCGATTATCCAAGGGCTTTGAGAAAGTTCTCGTGATAATTTAATGTATCTACCTGCTATGTACATTGGGTTCTGTTTGCATTCGATATTTTTTATTGTAATAAAATTCGTTGGTATAGAAGGCGGAACTGGGTAGTATTTTTTAAAAGTGTCATTATTGGTTTGTTCTAAAACATTTACCACGCATTTCCGAGCAAAAAGATCCCCGGTAAATTTTCTTTTTTGTATTTTTCTTTGTTGGAAAGTATTTGGTTGCATTTCTTTTAAACTACTTAATTCCTGTTAAAATTTAAATGTTAATTAATTATGAATAGGTTCAAATCTGATAACATTAAAATATTTTCAGATTGTTTACTTACAGTTTCATCATCTTTATGATCATAAGAAATGTTAATTGCAAAATCACAACTATCTGAAGTTTCAAAGTCTTTAAGCAAGTATTTTGAAATTGAAGCTTTCACAAACATTTTCCATGCTCTATTTAGCGGAATCTCCTTATTGCCTATATTAAAAAATAATAAGTTAAGAAAGTAATCATCTTAGTCATCTCACCTTCTGTAAAGAATTCAGGAAATTTATTTTCCAAGTATAACCTCATACTATGTTCCCTAAGTAAAATACAAGCAGGCATACTAATAGAACAAGTAAATACAGGACTATCGTATGACAAACCAAGTTTCAAGTTTTCATCCATTAAAATGCTATCAATAGATTCAGTTTGTAATAGCCCTAAACAAACTAAACAAGGATTAACTTTCATCTTTTTATTATTCTCTTCATCGTCCAGTTTATCTTGAACAATATTATTCTGTAAATTGAATCATTACCATTTATTCATTCATTATATGATAACTTGCCATTTTTATATAAGTATTAACATCTCCTAAATCAATATATTTATTACAAAAATATCTTACACTACATATTTCACAACAACCTAATTCTCGAAGGTGATTATAAATATTTTTTTCTGTAAACATCTTTTCTTATAGCGTCCGATATCAACGAGGTTAAATTTTAGTGAGGTTATGTTGTTGTTTTGAAAATGACAGCGTCACCTATCGGATAAATTAAAATAATATGCAATAAATCTCAAGTTAATTTCTTTTTATTAATTAAATGCTACATTTGTCCACATTGCATAATAGTAACGGGTATTTTAGGTTTATTATTAGGCCCTGTAGGCACATTTTCAATTTTTCTCATAACCAATAACCCGTCCATAACTCGTCCAAAAACAACATGTTTTCCGTCTAAAAAGTTACATTTTGAGCATGTTATAAAAAATTGACATCCATTTGTATCTTTTCCACTATTAGCCATTGATAATAAACCAGGTCCATCATGTTTTAAACTAAAGTTTTCATCTGGGAATGTTCCACCACCATAAATGCTCATCACACCCGTTCCATCACCCTAAAATAATTACCATTAATGTTTTTAGAAATACTATTATATAATTCATTATTACATTCACGAAATCTCCACCTTGAATCATAAAATCTTTAATAACCCTATGAAAACCAGCTCCTTTAAACCCTAACGGAACACCATCTTTTCTAAACTCCCCAGTACAAAATTGACGAAAATTTTCACTGGTTTTTGGTACTACATCAGCATATAACTCGAATATCATTCGTCCGATTTCCTACAATTAATGTTTTTAGTTAGGTTTTGAATCATGTTTGGAAGATAACCTCAAAATACCGTTGTTCCTACAGATACATCAAAAAATACTACAGGGTTCGCCGGGTGTCGTAATTGAGATTGTATTTGACTCCAACTTGGCATTTTTTTTTTTTTAATTTAACACTTAATAATAATCTTATTGATAAATATGAGACGATTAAAGCGGTTAGACTAAATTGTTGAGGTTATGTTTGAAATTGTATTGAATTTGACAGTTCATGTAAATAGATTTAAAAATGTAAATTAATTCGTTACATTTATATTTTGGAGATATTGATTATAATGATTTGTAATAATAAATTATTTGTTATTATAATTGATTCATTTATAAATAGAAATAATAAAAAACGGTGATGTAAATTAAGTTGTATAACTTTTAATAATTTTTATTTCCGATGTAATTATGATATAAAAATATAAATAAGTAATTTAATTTAGAGTTTATTCTTCTTTAAATAATCCCTATCAACAATTTCTTTCCACCAAGTTGGTTTAGACATATTTCCGGCAGTTCTCAAAATATTATTCTCTAAATTTTGATAAATTTGTCCATTTGAGGCACCGATAACACTTCGAAGAAGAAAATCTGGTGGGGCGATTGCGTCTACTAGAGCTACAGCTTCAGATTTTAAATCTTTACACAACAATAAAACAGTTTCTTGTATTAATGTAACAGGTTCGGGGCCGGATGCAAATCCACCTTGATACAAATGTGATAAAAAGTGTTTTTCTAAATTGTAAACTCCAAATAGTTTTGCTAATTTCGTTAGAACTAACGATATCGGCTTGTCTTGTACTTTAATTATGTTTTGTTTCATTAAATTTAAAGTGAAAAGTTGAATGTATGCGATTCCTAAGCTTCTTGAGTAATAAACTTGGCTGCTATTTTTAGCTGTGAATTTATCGCTTCCGGAGTTTTTAAAGTTTTGGAATCTATCATAAGTGGATTTGATGAGGTAAATGTTAATCCACTCGTATATTTTTATGATATCTAAAAGAAAAAGATTAAATTTTGGGACGATTTACATTATTAAGGGTTAAATACGGTCAAGGTTGTTAAAATCATCCACAGTTTTTGCAATCCATTTCTTTGCGATAATATCCATGCCAGTTCCAAGAAAATCTAATGAACCTAACGGCGATGAAAGTTCTGTTCTATTTAAAATGCTTGGCCAAAACTTCATCAGAACATTTGAAGCCTGTTGAATCAAAACATGATTTTCTCCATCATATGTAACACTTGGATCATGATCGTTTCTTATATCTGATATGCCTGAAGCTAAAATCATATGTAAATTTAGCTTTTGAATTTATTTATATTAACCTTTAAGGTATCCATGTCCGGCGCAAGCTTCTCGACATTCTTGAATTCCATCTCTTGCAGACCAGGAGCAAACAACCTTAGCAGCGGCAGAAAGTGCATGCGATTCCATAATAAGGATAATAGGTACACTTCCACCTGAAAGAGCTTCTTTAGTCCAAGCTGAATGCTCCAAATATAATTTATCAGCCAACATTTTTGTTGCATAAGCAACGGCAATATGAGGAATGAGTCTATGTTGATGTAATTGGTACTCAATTATTGGCAACTCCTCTTTGCTACCATCAGGTCCAAATTGTCTACGAACAGCACCATATCTTATAGCAATCGTAATCGCTTTCGTTAATAGAAGATGAGAAGAAAAAACCACACCCATTCTCATATTTGTTAAACTACCAAGCACTGTTTCTTTGCCTTTATTTGAAGCAACATATTCACCATCATCTGTTACATCACCGTATTTATTTAAAAGATTATCTTTAGGGATTCTATAGTTGTTAAACATGACGAAACCGTTATCGGTTGCGTTTACCCCGGCTTTTTCGCCGAGATCGCCTATGATGATTCCAGTGTAAGGTTCCAAAGTTTTTGGACATCTCAATGGTACCAAAAAGCAATGTAAACCGTGGTTTTTTCCATCGGGCGTTATTAAATGAGCGAATAACGTTGCAATCGAAGCGCTCTGACCTAAATTTCCAGACCAACATTTAGCCGCTTCGAAATCTGGGGTATTTATTACAAATTCTTTGGTATTAACATCGTATGTAGCTGTTGTTCTCATTCCACTTGTATTAGTTCCATGTCCAATTTCTGTTAAACAAAATGTACCTATCATCTAGAATGTTGTAAAAAATTAGTTGAAAAATCTATAAATATATCTTAATTTTACTTTATAATTTAAAATATCATGTGCATATTCTAAATGTTTCTCAGTTCCCATTGATTTAATAACCAAAGGAACCATAAAGTACGCCATTAAATATTTTAATGTGACTCCATTATCAAAGTTTAATAATATCGAATTTACGGCTATGTTAAGATGGTCATTGTCGTGAACGGGCGCGAAACCTTTTATTCTTTTGAAAGCGTTTAAATATTTGTAACCGTCTCTTCTGATCTCATCGAATGTTCTTGATTTCAAACTTAAGTGGCAATCGGGGTTTGAATAAATTTCTGTGTAGATATCTTCCTATAAACAAGCAAAAAATTGTTAAACAAAAAGTTGTATCAATTTCAAGAGAATTAAAAACATTTTCAAGAATTTTCTAAGATTTCTTATTATGTTTAAGAATTAATATCTTAAGAACTAAATCTATACTTTCAATTAGATATGCTGATAATTTTATAATTATTGAAATCCCGATTTGTTATGATTTTTTGAAAATGCTTGAAATTAATTGTTTGTTCCGAAATATGAGAGTGCTAAGTAGTTTTTAACAGATTTTCATTAAATTTTTACTCACCATAAATTTGATCACTTCTTCCGGATAGAAGAAAGTCATCATTTTCTTCCAATCAAACGAAGCTGATTTTCTGTAGCCACTTAAAGGGCCGTTGGGAAAATCCTTTAACAGTTCAATTCTATTACGCATCGTTTCGACTATGCCTCCACTTAAAAAGTAAATGAACGCTACGTTTGATTTAATTTTTTTAAAAATTTCTGAGTGGGAATGATAAGTCAACTTATTATGAGCAAAGGTCATTGAGATAAATAGAATCGGTAACCTTGCTTGTAACCTAAACATGTTTTTGTATACATAGGTGGTTTTCTAGTTATTATTCATGAATCATAATGCCGAAATTTTTGGTTAAAAAAAAGTTTATTAAATTTCTATTACATCGTTTTTGTTTAATTTAAAGATTTGATTTGATATAATTTCTATTAATAACCTCTTCCCACCAAACAGGTCTGGACATATTTCCTGGAGATCTCATGAAACTATTGTATAGATGTCGATAAACTTGTCCATCAGAATGTCCAATAACAGACTTCAAAGCGAAATCGGGCGGTGCAATAACATCCACTAAGGATACTGCATCACGTTTGAGTTGTTTGCACAAATCTAAGATTCCCTCTTGTATTAAAGTAACAGGTTCAGAACCGGAAACAAATCCACCTTGATAAAGTGTCGATAAAAAGTGTTTTTCCAAATTATAGAGACCATATAAAGAAGTTAATTTAATCAAAACGTCCGTTATCGAAGCATCCGGCGCTTCTAACGCTTTCTTTTTCATTTGTATTAAAGTGTAATGTTGAATGTAAGCAATACCCAAACTTCTTGAGTAGAAAATTTGACTTTCATTTCTTGCAGTAAAGGAATCTAACCCTTGATTTTTTAAATTTTGTAATCTTTCAGCTGTAGCTTTAATCAAATATACAATAACCCATTTGAAAACATCGTTTATATCTGAAAAAAAGTACTTTAAAGTGATTGTTACAAATAAATAATTTAAATAATTATTACAGTCCACGTTGGTGGTGTTTTTAATTGAAGTTGCGGTCCATTTTCGATTTAAAATTTCCAAACCATTATTGAGGAAATCCATGGAATACAACGGGGATATTATTGGAATTCTTTTTTGGATGTTAGGCCAGAGTTTGATTAAAATATTTGAAGCTTGTTGGATCAAAACGTGATTTTCACCATCGTAGGTCATATTGGGGTCATTTTCATTTCTTAAATCGGATATTCCCGACGCTAAAAAAATTTTTTAAACTGTTTTTTCATTAAGAATAACAAAGAAATAAACCTTTAAGGTAACCATGTCCAGCACAAGCTTCGCGGCTTTCTTGGATAGCATCTCTTGCGCACCACCCAGAAATCGATTTAGCAGCTGTTGATAAAGCATGAATTTCCATCATTAATTCATATTCAATTTCTTTTTGATTATTTCCATTGTATACTTCCATGACTTCGATGTTCAAGACTTTCGATAAGATTTTCATAGCAAAAGCGGTTGCTAGATGAGGAATCAATCGGTGTTGATGCAATTGGTATTCTATTACGGACATTTCTGGACCATCTTCAGGTCCGAACTGTTTTCTGACAGCACCGTAACGAATCGCAATGGAAATCGCCTTTATAAGATAACTACTGGCGACATTAACAACGCCAAATCTCATCCCGACCAAATTACTTAGTGTCGCAGCCATCATTTGGGTTGGATCTTTGGCCGAAAAGACGTATTCCCCAGAATCGGTTACATCAGCATATTTATTGAGAAGACTATCTTTGGGAAGACGGTAATTATCGAAAATAACGAAACCGTTATCTATTCCGTTTAATCCAGCCTTTTCACCCAAATCGCCGATGGTTACTCCAGAGTAAGGTTGTAAAGTGTTTGGATTTCTTAGAGGAACCAAGAAGCAGTGAATTCCTTGTTGGGTCCCATCGGGTGTTATTAATTGAGCGAAGATTATTGATAAAGTTGCACATTGTGCCAGTCCACCACACCAACACTTTGCAGCTTCAAAATCTGGTGTTTGTAAAATAAATTCTTTCGTTTCAGGATCATAAGTTGCCGTGGTTCTTATACCGCGAGTGTTTGTTCCATGACTAATTTCAGTTAAACAAAATGTTCCAATATGCTGTAAACAAACAAATGTTAAAGAAAAAAATTATGAGAAAAAAGTTATGTGTTTTTGAGTAATTCGTAAAATTAGAACAAGCAAATATATATTTCGTTTAATAGATTTCGGTGTTATTTTTAGATTGTTTATATTGAGCGGATATTTTAAGCAACAACTCTAAAAGCCAAAAACCCATAATTTGTTATACATATAATACAGAACAAAATATCGAATAAATAAATGCTCATGGAAGTTCCACATTGGTGTCTTAACCAATGAAAATAGCTGAGGAAAAGAACTTCGACATTCTCAACATATAGGTGTAACATTCACATACAGGCTTTTGGGGATAAATACAACTTCAAAATAGTTATACGAAAAGGAGGAAATACGAAACACCTAAAGAACTCTCCGGTCAGTGTCGAAATCCCATCAAAAGCTGAACGTTGAAATCAGTAATATTAATTTGAAGATGACTTAAGATAGACAAAATTAGATGAAAAATGCGAATAAGTAGTGGAGACATTCATTTAGTAACCCGGACTTGAGATTGACATCAGAAATCAATCCACAGTGAAGTGCGCTGAAAAGCAGATGCGGAATAGTCAGCAAGGGAACAGGACACAGTAAATTAAACTAACAATAAGACAACACGCAGCAACTTCACCTTCGGTAGGAGCCGGATGGATTGATTAGCACAGTGAACATCGATGTCGAACAAATCACATTTTAAACAATTTAAATACTTCCTGTAACGTATTGAATGGAAAAGATTTAACTGAAACTGTTGCGCTTAACTAACTGAAAACTAAATTACAACTGAAATTCACTTAGATAGCGTTAAAAGCATTCGTTAATTGTTCGCTAAGATGTGCTTTTACTCCCCGGTTTCATTAACAAGATTATATGATATACAGCACTTTACGTTGTAATTAAGTGGTTACACTTACCCTTCCGGTTTGATAATCTTCTACATATTTTTGGTGTTTTTCTGTTCCTTGATTTACAATAGCAATTGAACATAAAGCTGTGTGAATGCCGATTTTTTGAGTAACCGCCGTGTCGATGTTTAATAACACATCTCCTGCATACATATATTTTGTGTCGTTGGTTATTGTTAGACTATCCATTTTAAGCCTATCGTATCTTTTAATAGCGTTAATTCTTTGCATGGTACGTTTTCTTACTTCGTCTAATGTTGGGGTTATAACTTCTGGTTGAAATATCGGTTCTACTGCTAGATCGTTGTAGAGATCTTCCTATATTTTGTAAAATCATAAAAAAATTGTTGTTTTAGGTTAATAATCTTACCATCAACTTTATTCCTTCTTCAGTGTCGAAATAAATCCTCATTTTTTTCCAATCAAACGATGCTTGATTTCGGTAGGCATCTAATGGTCCCTTTGGAAAATCCTTTAAAATTTTTATTCTATCGTTGTCCATTTTCGGAGTGTTAACTACAACTGAGCAGAATATTTTTGAGTTTGTCGATTAAGTTATAATGAATTATCTTATCTTATCGTGGTTGCTTAACTCATGGTCAGTTATTTTTAAGTAAATATGTGAAATAAATATGTTTTCTTAATTAATTCCTTTTTTTGGCAGATTGAGTGTAACTTGTAATGTTGCAAGAAATAATGAGTTACAATTGATTTTATTTTATAATTTTTTTATATTTAAGGAAATACATAACTGCTTTATCTTCACATTTTATAACCTTCTTGTATTTATGAATTATTGCTGAATCATTAATCTAATGTAGATAATTTAAAAATACGTATGAACTTTGTGTTTATAACTGTTTTAAAACGTAATCAACATTGCTCAATATTTTGACCTTATCTTTTTTAATAAATACATCACAAATTGTTTAATAGTTTTCAATTATTTAGACTCACCTTCTGTGTGGAGGTACTTTGGTCCCTGAAAGTACGCAATGCTGTGGTGATAAATTTCCAAGTTCACTATCGTGCAGTGCAGCCGGTGTATAATTTTACACCTTAACTTTAACCGTTTAAACTTAAATAAAATATCTAAACGATATGAGAATAACCACTAAATTAATTGATATTAATTTCTGTGGATAGCTGGTAACTATAAAATATAAAACTCACCGTTGATTTTGGTATATTTATCAATACCAAATTATTCGAGCGGTAACAGAATCCAAAGCCATGGAAATGTACTTTAATATTATTTTATTATCACAGTAATTTATTTTATTTGGTTACCCAACTCGTCTTAATTAATGTATAACTTGCGCTTTACTGAATGTAATGCTAACGGTATTACTAATAAAAAGACAAGTTTGCCACGTTACGAATATAACGAAACTTCGTTTTCGGGTTGTACCGGGATAAAATACAGGAAAGGCTAGCCCAAAAATCTCTGAAAATCTTATAATACCCTAAATAAAGTTTAACGGCAAGTTAAAAATGAAATAGATCCTTTGGAAAAAAGAAAAAAGAAACCTAGAGCCAAAAGAAAAAAAAAATGTTTTCAATGAACAATGAAAAATAAGAAAAATAGTGGTTCAACGATAAGTAACTGTTATAGTAGCTTCATTACTTGAAATTACTTAATATTAAGGAAAGTAAACATAAAAAATTGAACTGCAGTTCTTTTGGAGAGCATTCATATTTCAATGTTTCGATTCTTGGTGTTCATCAAGCATCACAATGTGTGTTTTTCATTATTCGCTCGGCCCAAGATGGTTTGCGGCCGAGGCTCAATTAATCATTATTTATCACCTGAAACTAGTTATTATATTGTGGGGCGTCAGCTTTATCCGATGAAGTTGTAGGTCTTTTGATTAATTAAGTCATGATCCCAATAACCTATATGAAATACGTACAAGAATACTTAAGTTGGACACTGTATATGTTTAATGTTTATTTATATGTCAAAAAAGAAGTTTTTGGACAGACGTCATACAAAATATATATTGTAATGTTTTTCCAAATGGACCGCAAATAGTCCCTCTTCTTTTGAAAAGAATTATTTTAATGAAAACAACATTACTAAATTTTATAATAATTTGTTTTTTTATTAAATTGAAAAAAATTTAAATATTTAAACAGAATTGTCGAATTATCTCAGGGTTAAGGCAGGTTCTGGTAATACTGTCAAGACAAACATGTGCACAACTTAAGGTGCAATCAAATTGAGATGTTGTCGACAAAATTAACAAAATATACTGATTATATAAACAAATATTCTAAATTAGTTGATTCGAAGTAATATTTATCAACTCGGATATGTTATGGTCTTAAACAACTCGTCAAATATTAAATTAATTAGGAAATTGTAATCGTAATCTCAAAATTTATATTGAACTTATCAAGAACTTCTCTTATTGAAGGTAAGAAGAGTTTTTTTCTTTAAAAAATGTATCAACAAAAACAATAAATTATAAAAAAAAATAACTTAGCCAATTTGTTTCTATGGGAACTTTGGAGGTCAAACTCAGAATAATATTTTCTTCGTGACAGGTGATGGTTGGATTCAGGATTGAGAACCAATTTTTCTCTTCACTAGTGATGATGGTTTCTACCAGAAACGGAACCAATTGCTTTACTTGATCAGGAGCGAATTTAATCGTTTCTTCGAAATTATTGAACAGGAACGGATATTCTTCTTTAATAGGAACAAGATGAATTGTTTTTTTTCAGAGTTAAACAGGAACGGATATATTTTTTTAAACTCGTTAACACGTTGATTTAAATAATTTTCAGCAGAGCAAAAAAAATGTGTGTGTTTCTTTAGACAACAGGAAGCACACTCTTTTTGTTGATAAATTCCGTTTTTCGGATGTTAAATTTCCAAATAACCTCTCCTGATTGGTTAAATTTATGGATTTGGAATTTGTGTCTTAGTTTTTTCAATGTAGCCAACTTTGACATTTGAAATGTCTCTAATTCAATTTGTCAAATTATTATTTAAATTTTTAAAATTATTTATAATTATGCGTGATATTTCGTAATTTTGATGCTCTTTTAAATCAATTTTCAAATATCCATTCATTTTCTTCTGATCTCAACGATAAATTTTCCAATATGTTCAAATTAATTTTGTAAATTTTCATCCAAATTTCATTATTCCATACAAATATTAATTATTTTCTTTGTTAACCAAGTTAAGTTTATCGTTCTAAATAGGTTTGATCCGGGTAGATAAAGATTTAAATAAATAATTTTGAAAAATTTAAATTGAGGTTATCTAATATCGAATCTTTAAAATTACTTCGCATCGACTTTACAAGTGATAGTTTAGGATTAGAACATTAAAGAACAATAAAATGTACCGAAATTCACTAGTGTATAGTATCTAACATTATTTTATAATTGTTTAAAAAAAACTCTTCTACGATCAATACGATAATCAAACAAGACTAAACTGCTGGTAATGGTTATTATTACAATATGTATACTTCAACAATGAGTATCTAAAACAGTAACTTAACTAATACAGTTCGGTCATACGGTGGACATTACTTAGGAATTCTTCTACCGAGTAAAAGGCCTCAGACACCAAAACAAAAAAAAAATGTAAGTACATGACAAATGAGCTCAGTAGGTATCGCTACCATCTGCTACGGCCTTCACCGGTCAAGATAGATTTGCCAAGCTGTAACTGTCGATACACGTGGAACGAGATTTTGAGGGTCGAGTTGGAATATTAAGTGCAAAGAAATAAGTGCAGACGATGGAAAACATATTCTCATGCAACGTCTTCGTAACACCATGTTTCAATCTTATATTAGGAACAGTGTTGTTAAATAACCGGGGTATTTATTGTCAAGGGAAAATTCCCTGGAAATATACCCAGGGGTATTTACCCAAGATGGGTATTTAAAGGTATCTATAAAATTTAAAAACAGTACAAAGACTACTAAAAAATAAACAAGTTTAATTCAAAAATAAAAGTTGTACATTAATAAAAAGTAATAACAATGGTTATTTATACAAAAACTCATACAAATAAAACAATAAACGAATAATAATATGTTAAGTTTTAATCATAAACTTGATCTAATCTAAATTACGACAGAATCGTCTGATGATTGATAGTACGTCTTCGATCGTTGACAATTTCTCGTCTTCAACGTCCATTTCATCATTTTACTTGTATCACTTTTATACGTACTGTTTGGGTATTTACTCCGGTCCAGGGTAAATACTCAGATAAATAACCATTTTATAAATACCTACCCGACGGGTATTTACCCAGCGCCCATCACTGATTAGAAATAAGTATAAGAGAACCTTTAACATCGATCTTTTAGAATAGTTGACTTTTGAAAAGAATTGATTACATATTGAAGTTTATATCATAACATATTACGTTTTCTAAAATCTCATTATTAGTAAATGATGAAATATTATTACCGTGGGAGAACAATAGGATGTTTGCAAATATACACAATGTGCTGGAAAGCTTCTAGACTAACATATTACCAGACGCATCAAACGAGGATACAAGCCCTCTCACAACATAATTTTCAACCATTGTCCGTTGTAAATTAATTAATTTTCAGGTTGTAAATTCATTACTCATCCCTCAACTAAGCTGGTGCATTTGTGGGACTATGAAAATTCCCTCTTTTTTCTTCCTCCTTTTTGTTTCATTTTGAAGAACAATTTCGAAGGGTCAAGTCGGACTATTTACTTTATTTTTTTTAACTTGGTAGTTCGAAAACAAAATGTTATTATCCCGGAAACTTTTTCGAAAGGCCTCTAAGATTAACCTTTATTTATTTAATTATTTGGTTAGTATTTACTAACCTTTTCTTTCTTAGTTCGCTTTAATGGGATGACGCAGAATGTTCGTACGATTTCTGTAACTTTGTGTTCTATAAGGAAAGGCTTCCTTAATATCATTAGAGTTACCCTCTTGACGTTGTCGTCACGTCTTACTTACGGGATCACTCGTATTTTCCTCAGTGGTACAAAATCGAATCAAACTCCTTTCAATTACGTTACACAGAGACATTTATTTCGAGTTTCTTTTTTCGATCGGCGTACACCGAAAATATCACACATATAAATCCGTTATTATTAATTAAATTTTAATTTTTTACAATTTTTTTTTAATGGAAATTTTTGGGAAGGTACAAATACAAAAATATCGATATTGCCTACTTATAATATTAAGCTATATTTACAAGATATTTTATAAATTTTGGAATTAACTAATGCGAAGTTAACCCCTATAACAAGAGAACCTCTGAACAGTTTCAACCTATTTTGGTAAACAATATCTCATTTGAAAGCTTAATCATTGGCCAATACGAAATTGTATAGTAGAGTAAGTGAAATTGTATAGTGAGAAAGTACACGGAATTAACTCAAAAATGACTTTTCTCGATAATTATGCATCTAAGATAATATTGCTCGATAATGAGCAATAGTGTAAAAGAGCAATAATGCTAAGAATAATATTTTCCACAACTTTTATACTAAAACTTTTTTTGTATGGCTATGGCAAATCGAATGACGTATAGATCTTGATTATTAAGTACGTACATCGTTTACGAATTATGACCACCTAAAAAAATAATAATTTTGGTGTTATTATGGTGTACTTTCGCAATATTTTCGCGTTTTAGCGAAATTCGAATCAGGCATTTCCACTTTCGTAGTGGCAAAGGATTAAGCTATTTCGAATCAGGTATTGTTCATCGAATTCGGTTGAGGGTTCTCTTGTTATAATCAAAACACTATACATGTAATCTTTTGCATAGGTTTGGAATTAACATAAATATAAAAAACATATTAAAATTAAGTTAAATTAATTTAAAAATTACTTTTTGGTATATTATTATTAATAATACTAAGAAAAGTACTAACAAAAATATGTGAAATTTTTTAATGAATTAGAAATGCATACAATGATAATAATCTTCCACTGTCAATTTCGCTTGCAGATCGTGTTATTCAATCATAATTAGAATCACACAAGTAGAATTCTATACACACATCGTGTTATTTCGACATAGTCAACTCCCGGAGTGACGTGGTAACGTGACATCGTTGGTAATTACGTTGGGAATCGACCAGATTTTCTAGTTCGGACACGATTCGAAACGTCCAATGGAAAATTAACTTGTCATAACGTGTTTTGAAGACTACCAAAAATAAATAAATCTTTCGTGTATACATTTGAGAAAATAATTATATCTCTGATATGACAATCTTCAATATTTACATATTTGCAGCGAGTTGTTACCCTGTGCGGTCGCGGACGATAAAGTAATAAATAAAATCTGATTTGAAAGAATCATCACGCGATGAAAATTGGTATATTACCAAGGGCTCTGTAGATCTCACGGAATTTCCGATACAAAATTGGAATAGTTGCACGATTTGGTTCAGTTGAGAACCAAACGACAGATACGCTTTTGTGTTTCGGGCTTTCCCCCCGTACGATATTGATTTTTGCATTCGCCGCTTCGTTGGCTTTTATAAGCCGATTGTGATTTTATTTTTCGATTTCACCTTTACCGTTTTATGAATAGCTGTTTGAAATTATCTACAGACACCAGACGATGATAATTGCCGGGAACAGATGAAACAATTCAATATATTATCAAATTGTATCAAGTTCGTACAGTTAATTGTACTGTTTCTAAAACAGATCTCGGTTTCGAAACTTCTAGAAATTAAACTGTTTAACGTCAACGACACGACTTTGTGCTTAATTACGGGAAAATTATAGCAATTACATTTGGAATTGACTGATACTGAATTTATATTTATTATTTTAGTTATAACTGATTGTATGTTTATATGTAGAGTGAGTCAGCAAGGATGACACTTTATCTTATCCTTGCGACGACAGCAACAAATTTACAGCAATTTTTACACGGTTTTTGTGGTTTTCTGGCAAAAAAGTGCTTGTGCAATCAAGTGATCGTTTGCTGTTATATACAGGGTGTCTCAGCAAGACCGGTCATTAGACGTTTCTGGGGTTCTGGCCAAACAAAAAATTTGAGAATGCAGACTTAAGTATCATCAATTACGTTCTCTTCATCTAAAATATTTTCAGATTTCTAGCACTTCCGGTTATACCGGAAGTCGCCACCTACTTTATTTTTTTAAATGGAACACCCTGTATATTTTTACACATTTGGATTTGTCTGTTTTGAACCAGCAATTCTCGAGTTATTCGAAATTTTCTAGAAAAATTTGCTCCAGCGGACATTTGTTCAAAAAATCATAGAACACTCAATTTTTGAGATATCAATTTAGGATTGAGAACATGCTTAAACAACATGATGGAGTATGTTTTGGTGCCGAGAACGGCTGTCTAAATCGTTTGGTCACTTTACTATGATACGTTAACTTTTCGAAATTTGGAAGCACCATAACTTCATTTTTTTAAATGGCACCCCCCATATTTTATTACTTAGTCGTCTTCGGCGTCTCATTTTACATCTTTTATATTCCATATGTCCTATGCCTAACATTAATAGTTTGAGAAATAATTAGGGTTTTTTGAAAAATGCTCACATATCATATGGATATTAACCTAGTGTGCCATGGAAAACAAATGTTTAATGACTTATTGATAAACGTCAAAGTCTAATTTAGGTTGTTTGATGCTTGTGAGTCTAAAACCAGTTAAAATGGATATTAATAACGTAAATAATGTTTATACAAATGAAGAAATCCATAATTTATTTTTTGTGCACGAAAAGTGCGACAAAGTTCTTAGTAGAACTTGCAGAATGTTTAATGAAAATTATCCACATTTATCTCCGATGACAAAAGGTAAATTTAGAGGAATAGAAGCAAATTTTTTGCATTTTGGACGAATTAATCACGTGTTAAACTGACCAAAAAATGTAGTAGATAATGCAACGGAAGAGGTGAATACCTTGGCTTATTTCGAGCCCAGTCCCAACACCTCAATTCGAGCTGCCAAAGAAGATCTGGGAATCATACTACGAACTTTGTCGCGCTTTTCATGCAAAAAAAATAAATTAAGAATTTCTTGATTTGTGTAAATATTACTTTCGTTATTGTTATCGATTTTAACTCGTTTCAGTACTAATATTAAGGGACATAACAGATAATTATTAGCTCACATGCATCAAGTGACGTAAACAAGTGAGTCTTTGACAAGAACTCATTGAGAAGGCTTGTTTTTCATGGCACACTAGGCTAAATATCCATATGATATGTGTGCATTTTTCAAAAAACCCTAATTATCTCCCAAACTATTAATATTAGGTATGGGACATATGGGATATAAAAGATGTAGAATGAGACACCGAAGACGACTAAGAAATAAAATATGGGGGGTGCCATTTAAAAAAATGAAGTTATGGTACTTCCAAATTTTGAAAAGTTAACGTGCCATAGTAAAGTGATCAAACGTTCTAGACCGCAGTTCTCGGCACCAAAACATACTCCATCATGTTGCTTAAGCATGTTCTCAATCCTAAATCAATATCCCAAAAATTGAGTGTTTTCTGATTTTTTGAACAAATGTCTGCTGGAGCAGATTTTTCTAGAAAAATTCGAATAACTCGAGAACGACCGAATCAAATTGCAAAAAGTAAAGTTATTTATAAACCTTGAAAACAGACAAATCCAAATATGTAAAAATATACAGGATATTCCGTTTAAAAAAATAAAGTTGGTGGCGACTTCCGGTATAACCGGAAGTGCAAGAAATCTGAAAATATTTTAGATGAAGAGATCGTAATTGATAATACTTAAGTCTGAATTCTCAAATTTTTATTTTCGCCAGAACCCCAGAAACGTCTGATGACCGGTCTCGCTGAGACACCCTGTATATGTATACCATCGCATAGAGTCTTGACCGTGTGAGTATAAATGAAAGTGGTGAAAAATTGGTGGAGTTTGTAGCCGTAGAAATAGACAGAGATGTGGTCCAGAAGGAATAGCGGTAGAGATGTTGAAAATGAAACAAACAATTTATTTGAAATAATAACACAATTATTTAATCAGTGCCCGAAAGGAGAAGAAGTTCCAATGCAATGGAAAGTACGGTAGTCCCTTCATTTACGCGGTTAAAGATTTAAGGTGGTTGATTCACTTTTATGCGGTTTTCTCACCAGAACTTTCAATATAATAAATTCTAAACGATCGAGAAAAGTGTTATCACTTTTACAAAAATGTGCGACCTGCATAAAAGAATGACTTTAGCAGAAGCAGCTAGAAAAAATAATGTTAACGAATCTTATATAAGAACTATTCGTGAAAATGAAGACAAAATTCGAAAAGTGTAAAATTTTCAGTTTGTGAATCTTCAAAATTTAGCAGATATTCTAGAAAAGGACCTATAGAAAAAATTGAAAACACGTTGATTTTACAGATTGAGGATCAAACTAAAAAAAGCCATTCTAAGCTCTAAACTCATTAGAGATAAAGCTACAAAGCTATATGACAATTTTATGAAATGTGTACACTCTTCATCAAATATTGAACAAAAACCATTTGTCGCAAGCAAGGGTTAGTTCGACAAATTTAAAATCGTCTCAGCCTTTACAATTTGAAATTGATGGAAATGTCTGCTTCAGCCGATCATGAGGAGACCAGAATTTCTTGAAAAAAAACAAATACTCTTAAGAGCTTTTATGTCCAGAAATGAGAATGTATCGTCAATCCACAAGAAAGGGGATAAGAAGATCTGTTGAGATTATAGAGGAATCTCGATGATCAGTATGCTCAGCAGACTGCCGCAAGTTATTATCCAGAAAGTGGTTGAATGGGGGCAAAAACACGTCGGTAAGGCTGCTTTTACAAAAAGAAATGGATTAAAAATTTCGTAGTTGGATTTAGATACCCAAAAGTGTGTCCTTTTCAAATTAATAAATTTTCTTTTTTAATTCGGTTTCATAAGGACTGTACAAGGCTTTATTTTCTTCCACTCTTGTTATCGACCGGAGCCAAAAGTTTTAGACGAAGGAAAGATCAGACTTTCTAGTGGTATATTTAATTTCGCTATCTTTAAAGACGACTAAGATATCGGCATGTGAAGTAGGTGGAAAAACAAGGGAAAAGTTTGTTGCTGTCGTCACACAAGATTTCAGCGTTGACTTCACCACTCTTTGACGAATATTTTACAGATAGAAAGTTCGAATTCAGGTAAATAACTCAATCATATTTTTTATATATTTTTAAATTTATTTATTAGTTTTCTTTTAGTTCAATATTTTCAATGTATATTTTCGTACAGACTCGTACTGAAATCGAATGCATTATTTTGAAGAAAACTTCAACTATACTTACTTAGATGGCTGTAGGGATGTAAAGAAACGGAGAAAGAGAAGGTTCGTCGAGTGCCGACGGGTAACGTAAGAATTTTTACGAGACAATTTGCGACTGTTCCCCTTTTGTCTCAGGGTGTGTAGGTATACCTTTTTTTACGATTTTCGTAGGACGTAAATTCACCTAAAATATTTCCCTGACACGAACTAATGACAATAGAGGAGAAAATCTTTACTGAATGAGGCTGCTTTTGTCTGGTGTCGCGTGAAAACGTACATACATTACCATACATTATCACTATGTATGTTGTTTAAACTAAGTACCAAAATAGCAGTTTGCATAACAACTGCTTATTCAAGTCGACACGAAAAATTTTTTCAGATAAGTTTACTGATATTTACGGGTGTTAATCGTTTTTCTTTCTTGGTAGTCGGAGTTTTTCTTATCGACCCTGAGGGTTGGGTTCGCTTTTTTCTCTCAAAGCGGAGATCGGATGATAAAATTTTTTACACGTTACCGGTATAACTTTGTCTGGGGAGCTGGAGAAAAGGACTCCTCTGGGAATGACTGCCGTTCGAAGATCTTCCCCCGTTTACGGTAACGACCGTTGTTGTCGTTACTTCTGAGGTACAGGATTCCCTCTTGTATAACGGCTGACAATACAGCCTGCAACCAAATTCAATTATAAGTTATAACTAGAAATCAATTGAAAAAAGAAAGTTCCAATATCAATCATAAAAATACTCTATACATATATTACTTAAATTAGTAAATGATACAACATTCTGAATTTATTTAAGGATTCTTGTTGGATAGTATAACAGTACGTTTGATTCTTTTTGTTGTAAAGTATTATTTATTTTATACACGAAACGACGCTCTTACAAAAAACTATTGATTGAGAGTAGCGTCTCAATTGTCAATAACAACCAAAACCAAAAGATTCTTGCCAAACACAAAAGCCAATTTACAAAAATAAGAAATACAATTTACAAAAATCACAACAATGGTTATAAGGGTCAAATGAAAACGTCGATACGTCACCCTATTTTTGTTTTTATCCCGGATCGAAATCTTTCCAGACTATCCAACCAACTATAACAGTTATTTATGACCAAACTTTGGCACAACTTCAAGTAGAATGGAATTAAGTCCATTATACTGATGTTAGTCAGAGCACTAACAATAACACTTTTATGGCTCAAGAAAGGCAATTATAATCATTAAAAAAACGAGGTTTTAATGAAATAAAAAAAAAAGGTTTTGATTCAAAATATATGTTTGAGAAAAATTAAATTGTGTAAACTTAAACAAGATTTCCTGACCGAAAATTGTTCGCATTTTATGAAGTTCGAGAGTAGGTGAGAGGTGATACAGGGTTCAGGAGCGTCTTGGAGTTATTCAAACTCCAAATTACTTCTAAGTTTCAGAGTTGGAAAATTCAATAAACCATCCTTTCAGACAACAGGAGTTTTGGCTTAGCTTCTTCGCTTAAAGTTTTTTGGGTAGATGCAAAAACTCAACCAACGCTCTGTATGTAAATTTTTATTGAAAATACATCCTAAAAACTCTAACAAACTAATAAATATTTTGTACTTTTCTGTCTTTAATTTCTAATTTATAATAGTAATCTATAATTAATTAATTGCTTTAAATACGATAAAGAAATAAGCCATAACATCGGTTTACTTGCAAGTAGTGCTACTATTCAAAATTGTTTTTCTTCTCATGCAATAAAATTCATGCATAAAATTCATAAAATTCTTTCTTGTTTTGGCTTCTGGTTTTTAAGGGACCGGAACTTTGTCGTTTTGGAGATCAGGGTCGTCCATTGAGACTAACGTCCATTCCGTAGCCCTGCGAATGTAAAACATGCATCATGCCAAATGTACCCGTAAAATAAATACGCTAGAACATGCAAAAGCTAAATGGAAGGAAAATGTATTTGGTATATATTTGAGAATATGTATCTTTAAGCAGTGATTTCGTTGTTTTCCTCAGACCAAATTTTCTCATTGATTTTAAGTAGCATTTTGCGTTGTGAAATTCAAAAATTCTTTCTTACGTTATGTATAAGATAGAAACAGCAAACTTGGCGACTTTATACAAAATTGAATAACAAATTTAATGGTGCCTCGACTTGTTCGGGAGATATCATTTTTTTTAAATCACATAAAGATAAATTTTTTGTGACACTGTGATTTCAATAAAACTTACAATTAGTTTAATAATTAGACGGTGTAATTGTAGGACACTTTGTATATTGCAATTAGCCGTTAAAAATTTGAGAAAATTTAATGGCTTTGATAAGCCATTTCAGAATAAAATACAAAGACCGGAGTTGAAAAAGGTTTTGCTCTCTAGCGCTTTCTCTCAAGAATATTTTTCAAGTGGAATGAAACGTTCGCGATGAATAAGAATTTCGTCTAATTAAACTTGAAATTCCGTTAGGAATTCTAATGGATAAAAAACCAAAACTTTTGTTTATAACTTATTCAATTTTATTTTCTTTTGTTGGAATATAAATACAGAAAAGTTACGATTCGCTCACGTTGATATAAAGTTACGTCTCTTGAGTATAACCCCTAATCTCTTTTTTTGTGGATCTTGTAGACGTTAAATATTAAAAAATCAATAAAAAGTAGCCGATTAGACTTCATTCAGCTATTTGAAAACCATTTCCTTCAACTTCTTCTTCTCCTTGGAACTTCTTTTCGTAACGACGGTCTGGAAATGAGTTTTTTGTGGTCTTCGGGTGCCGTTCACTTGTTGGCGGTGGTCGTAAATCATGCGAATGACGTAACCCGTCCAGTTAAATGACCTACTTTCCGTTTCTTGTTTCCCTTCTTCGAACTTGAACCACCACCGAGTAAATTATACAAAATACATGTTCTTGTACGAAATATCATTCACCCCTCTCTCGCACTTAATTAGAGGATCGAAGAAGACTTCAGGATAGTAATGTACATTAGGTACGGTTACTATAAATTGGGGATGCAATTAACCGCGCGAAATTCAGTTTGGAGAGGATGTGATGTTGAGGAAAGGATGAGAGTTGGAGAAATGTCTTGGGGGATGTTCGCGGAAGTTTCATGATATTGTCGGGAAGAAATTTAGAAACTAAGACGTGCGTTTGCGGCTGAGAATTTCTACGAAGGGGTTGGTTCGTTATTTAGTTAGGGTAAAGGTATGTTGCGAAAGGAGAGGAAACGCGAACGGAATTGCAAATGTGTGTTTCGAACCGTGCGTTTAGTGCGAGAAATGTATTTTGCTGTAAGAGTAATGAAACCAATTTACTGTTCGTTACTGATGCAATAAGAAAAATTTAATATCTCGGTGCACACTGCACAAGATGCGTTTTTTACGAGCAGTTTCTTGATTTTATATTTTAAGTTTGTTGTTCCAAAATTTCGATTTATACTTCCGTAATTTAAGTGTTATAAACTCTAAACTTTCATGCAGAAATAATGAACTTGGTAATGAAATCCTATTAAAACGCAATTATAGCAAGATTATAACAATTATAAAGGGGATTACGTTTTATTTAAATTTAATGAACGTAGTAGGTTAATGAGTTTTATAAAAATGAAAATCTCAATTCAAAACTGCAACAGTTTATAAAGTAAAGAAAAAATGAAGTAGTAGTCTTCAAACATTTTTAATCGTTGTGTTAAAAATTTAATAATTTAATTCTTATTATTATGTTTGTATTTTTTCGTTTACGTGTTTTAGTTCTTCGTTTTCGTTGTCGTCCGTCTCGGTCTTTAAACTTGTATTGTCACCTCCTTTGTCTTCTTGTAGAAATAAATTCATTCGTGTACCAGTTTTTGTGTTTTTTCAATGAGTTCACCGAAAAGTTTCTATTTTCCAAAGATTTTCCTTAATTTCATAAACAGAAGTGTAAGTGTTTTTCCGAAAGAAAAACGTAAGACAGTTTAAGTTATTTTTCTTCAATTTCTTTATTTTGTTGAACAATTCGAACACGTTGTATTCGTAATCAATATAGCCGTATTTTATCGAGTTCATCTTTTATATACATAAAAGAAAATACATTGCACTTATTATAGGGTAAACATTAAATGGAAACATTAGGAGCATTTGGAATATGCTTCTTACATACCCAAAGCGGGCCGTTCGGTCCCTACTTCTAGTGCCTTTCGACCCATCAGCCTAACGTCATTTCTGCTGAAAACCCTTGAAAAAGTTCTGGAACGGTATATCCGTACGGTGCCATTGGTATCTGGTCCACTGAGTCGCCACCAGTATGCTTATCAAGCGGGAAAATCAGCAGAATTGGCTCTACACAACTTAGTTGGTAGAGTATCCAGGACGCTGCAGGATAAAGAAATCTTGGTTTGTGCGTTTCTGGATATAGAGGGAGCGTTCAACAACGCAATACCACAATCTCTTGAAAGAGCTGCTCTTGACAGGGGAGTGGAAGCAACTATAGCGGGTTGGATCCGCAATATGCTAGATAGTAGAATAGTTTCTACATCACTCCACGGTGATACGATACGCTTCAGGCCGGGAGGTGGCTGCCCGCAGGGAGGGGTGTTATCTCCCCTGCTTTGGTCCCTCCTAGTTGACGATCTGATTGCGATAGTCGAAGCCGTTGGTGTGGAAATACAAGCTTATGCTGATGACATTGTCGTTATGGTCAAAGGAACCTGTTTGCCGAGGATATCTAAAGTCCTCCAGGTGACCCTAGATACCATTTGCGCTTGGTGTAAGGGAGAGAAC